CCCACACCCCCATCGCCAAGGAGCGGCAGGAGCCGGAGTAAAGCCCGCCTCGGGCGCCCCCGCTCACCTCCCCGCCTGGCGTTTCCTCAGTCGTGCGTGTCTCCAGACCCGAGGCACCGGCCCCCAGCACAGGGTCTCTCGCACCCTGTCGCTTCCCGGGCCATGGGTCGCCAGGTGCTCCTTCTGCTCCTGCAGCCGGTGCTGGCCGCGCTGGGCGGCCTCGGGGGCTCCGAGGCTGGTGAATGGGGCCCACGGGTGGGCCGCCCTGAGTGGGGACGGCATCCCACTCTGCAGGGTGCAGGCTGCAGGATGCTGCAGAGGCGGGAGGCCGAGGAGAGCTGGGGGACCCTCGCTGGCTGTGTGCCCCACAACCACCACAGACACTGCAGTGACCTTTAATTTAGGAGAGAGAGGCCGGCCGTCTGAAGGGCCCACCAGGTGAGTCTTGTGGCCCCCTGTTTCTCGAGGCCCTTTATTCCTTTATGCTGGATGGCCGTGAGGGGAGGGGGAATCAGCCGATTAATTCGGTGTCTTTACCTCTCCAGTCCTCAAGTGGATGGGAAAGGGAGCTCTCGGTACACCCTGAGCGTGGGGCATTCCCTCCCTCCCAGCTCTTCCTGACTTCAACGTCCACTCCAAGTGAAATTCGCGTTCTAGTCCTGGTCGCTGATGGGCCCGATGCTTGGGGTTTACCAGGCAGCAAAATGAGCCTCTTGGAGGCCAGGCACCCTGGAAAGCCCTGCCATGCTCCAGAAAACCCTCGGGAAAATGGGGCTTGGGCCTGAGGTGCAGTTAGAAAGCCACTTCCTGCAGTACGTGGTACCATTCAGGCTTCTGCAGATCCCAAGGCAGGGATCCCAAGGCTGAGTTGGGGTCCAGGATGACTGAGACACCCACGGTTCCCAAAGGTCGGTGGCTGGTGACATAGCCAGGTGTAGGAGGTGCCCAGCATTTATCAAACCACCTGACCTCCGGGCCTGCCTATCCCTCCTGACAGGTGCTCTTAATTGGCCCCCATTGGGCAAAAGGTAGACTTTAAATCATTTTCTCTTATGCAGACTCTTTCTTGGTCAAGGTGCCACTTAACACCTGAGTTATTTGTGTTCCAGGAGGGATGCTAACTACGGAGATTTTTGCCTGGCCTGGTAGAGCAGCTCTGCTGCTGCAGGAAGCCCTTGCTTTGTGGGGTCTGTTTGCACTACTCCTGAAATAGGATTAAAGCCATTTGTGCTTTTTACTAAATGGTGCCTTCCAATGCCTTCTGGTATGAAGACATCTCTATAATGTCTAATTTGGAACAGCACATGATCACTGTGCTTTGTATACTGACAGACTATGGGAAAGCGACCGTAAATTTAATACATAAGTAACTGTTAATAAATATATTTCTTGTTTATTTCCTAAATTTGGAAAGTTATGTTTGAGACCCACCTGCAGATAATGTGTAGAATCTATATGCACATTTGGTCTCCAGGTGTGACTCACCTAGCAGTGTGAGTCTTTGAGGGCTGACTGCAATCTGGTTGGGATCTTTCTGGAAGGATCTGCTGGAAGAGGGAGCAAAAGAATTAATGCTTTATGAGCATTTGTGTGGTGGGTACTGTGCCAAGTGGCTTTGTGCTCATTTAATCCTTGAATCTTCCTTTTAGGATTACTTATTTACTAGCCTCATTTTATGGACAAGAAAACCAAGATTCAGAGAGAGGAAGTAATTCTCCCAAGGTCATGTTGTTAATAAGTGGTCTAACCAAAACTCCAACTTGGGTAGCCTGACGACTGAGCCCGTGCTCCCGTATTAATGGTTGGTAACATCACCTGCTCTCAATTTAATGGTTTTGGTCGAGTTAAGTGAGATCGCCTGGAAGGTATATGAGTAGATAGCAAAGTTATTAGCTATCCATTAATAACCAGTACTTAAATATTTTATCCAAAATGTTTTTTATAAGTTAGCCTTTAAAAAAATCAAACATTAATTTTTTGTGTGTGCTAAAAACACTATCTTAGAGGGATACAAGTAAGACTAAGACATGGTGCCTCACCCAAGAAGGTATATTTACACAATGGTTTCCCATTGTCAATTTCCATTACATAACTTTCCATATCACTTTCCATTCTATACACACAAATTGTCCCTGGGAGTAGGACTGCCGGGTCATCTTGCAGAGACCTCTACTAGTACAGGGCATGAGGCTTGCTTTCTAAAAACCAAGGATTGGCTCTTCTCTTTGAAAGTCAGAACAGTATAGTAAATTAAGTACAGTCAGGCCTTCCTGGAGCTTCCCTCTGAGGCCCGCATTCCATGATGGTCTTATTTTTGACCACTAATCATTCAAAGTCGCTAAAACACAGCTTCGTGATTTAAATAAAACTGAAAGTATAAACCGATCTCTTACAAATAACTGAAAACTTTCAAATATTTATAACCAGGCCGTTTAGAGGTATGTTTATAAAGATAGTACGTAGGCCCAAACACATTTTAAGTGTGTCTATACACATCTAAAAGTAAACAGGAGTCCAATACTTTGAACCTGGACCTCTAAACTTGCAACTATTCTTACTCTGAGTCTTTAAGACCAAACCAGAGCTGGAAGAAGTATGCGTGTCTCTTTAAACACAAGTGTAAAGTCTGCCTCATTCTATTAGGAAAACAGGGAGGCAAATGGCAGTGCTCCAGCGACAACTCCACAACCCCAGGAAGGACTGTTTCCAAGGATCATCACTGGCAAAATCGTGTGGGTTTTTAGGGTAATGAATCCGCTAGTGTTCTCCTGGATATTAGTTGAAGGAAGTTCTTCCAAAACAACCATTGACTGCAGCTTAGGGTCCAAAGGTACTCTCTCGTACCCAAGGAAGGCAAGAACCCTCATGGCTTTGCTTCTTGGTCATCCAATGCAGACGAAGTACAGTGCAACATGACGAGGCAAGCTGCATGTGGGGAAAGATGCGTTCCTGTGGCCTGGCTCTGCCATGGAGAGCAAGACTGTCCTGATGGGACCGACGAGCAGTGCGGGAAGCACTTCTCACTACGGGATCATGTACGTGTCCATATCTGGCCCTATTACTATGAGCTTGGCTGACACTGTCAGTTCTCATGGTTTTCACTTTCTTAGGAGGTATTCAGAAATATTGGGTGTTCTGGGTTGTTGCGTGCTTTCAAGTAAGGCCAGGGATGTTTCTTTAAGTGTTGGCAGCACTATTGTCAAAACAAGTAGAAGCTAGTTTGGATGGGAAATCCAGCAAAAATCTGGCTTCTTATCTTAAATTCGGGCTTAAACATCTGTGGCAGTTACTCAAACTGGGATAAAAAAGAAATTCCTTTATAAGAAACTCTTGCCGACACTAGTGCACACAATTACTTTTATATACAGTAAATTAGTTTAACTTTTATATGCTTAGAGATTTTATATGGCTAAAAAACAACTTTGAAAATTGAATACAAAGAAAGCTGAATACAAAATTGAATACAAAACCAGTAGAAGCCAAATTAGTCATTTGGTGAAATAAGGTATCTTGCTGAAATAAGGCTCAAGCACTTATGTGCTAAAGTGCTCAAAGCCCCGGGAGGAACACATGAGCACCTGTGTATAAGGAAAGCCTCTTAACAGATGCCTTGGAGCCTGTGCAGTGAACATGGAAGGAAGAAATTCCTCATTAAAGGAGGAAACCCCAAAAGAGCTTGGTGAGGGCTACGTTCCTTTTCTATGCCCCACAGGCACGTTCTTGGTAATCACTTACTGTAACTAACTGAGCACAAAGTTTATATCGAAATGAGTAATATTACAGGTTAGAATAAAATTTCATATTTGCAGAAATGCCATATACTTCACCCCAGCTCCCTTAGTTTATATTACATATTTATATATTTATATTTATATACTAGCTTCTGCCAGTAGGCATACTTAAATGGAAATATTTGAAGGTCTAATTGAACCAAAAACTAACAATTCTCACGTTGTCTTAGAACTTAATACAGTCTCAAATGCCAAAGGAGTTCAAAGAGGTCAACCTCTAAAACGGTACTGTCCAACACAGTGGCCACTAGCCACATGTGATGATTTAAGTTTATTTAAATAAATAAAAGTAAGTGAATTCAATTCTTTGTCATCCTACATTTCACGTGCTCAATGGCTGCATGTGACTACTGGCTATCGTTTTGGACAGCACAGATATAAAATGCTTCCATTGTTGTGGAAAGTTTTATTGGGCAACAGCGTTATAGAAGAATGATGGGGAGAATAAACATTATTGATCTGCTAGGTGATTGTCCCTTGGTAAGGTAAGGGTAACATGAAAAGGACAGGCAAATTTAGGGTTGACTCTTGTGGCGAATCGGAAATTGATTATTCCATAGCTGATGAAAATAAGTTAATATGAAACCCAGATTACGTTCTGACAAACATCTTTTCCTTTCTGCTTCCCCTTGAACACTACTGGCCCACAGAGGAAATATGTCGTGGACATCCACAAGCCTGGCAGTGCGATGATGGGAAATGTATTTCTCTTAACTGGCTTTGTGATGGTGTTGGTGACTGCTTAGATGGCTCCGAGGTTCATTGTGGTATGTACCACTTACTTTTAGTCATATTCTCTGTTTATTAAGCAGCATTGATTAATATCAACAGTATTAAGTGAAACAAACAAGTCACTATTGATTAATATCAACAATATTAAGTGAAACAAGTAAGCCTTATGCCATACATGCTAAACCCAGATGTTAAACTGTCTCTGGTGTTACAGGTGACTTTTTTACCCACTTCTCCATTTTTCAAAATTACCTAAAATAAAAAAAGATTATTAGCTTTATTGACTTTTTTTCTAACTTCCTTGGGGTCGAACTTCAGTATACAAAGTTATGACCGTATCTCCAATGACTACCATTCCTTCTAATTCTTGGTTTTCTATAGACTAAGTCCATGAGCAAACCACTAATTCATAAATAAACAAGTATGTAGTACAACATTTCTATCTCACTGAGCCAGCTCCCATCTTTTAGAGATATTGACAGCATGTCCAGACCAAAAAATCTGGTGTCCAGGAAATTCTCAGTGTCGTGATGCTCGGGAACTCTGTGATGGCCATATGGACTATGAAGATGGGTTTGACAAAGCACACTGCCCCTGGCACCATTGCCTGGCTGGGCAGTGGCAGTGCAAGAACAAGATGTGTGTCATGAAGAGCTGGAAGTGACAGCATCAATGACTGTGGTGACTCCTCGGATGAGGAAATCTGTGGTGAGTCTTGCCCTCCCCGCTTCACTTAAAGGGAAGGTTGTTTCATGTGGGCTGCTTTCTACAAGTTGCATTTTAATTCCTATGACTGAGACCAGCATCCTATAACTAAAGATGAGATGTTTCCTAGCAATAAGCAAGATTTAGTTATCCATGGAAACATAAAGCAGTGCTTGAATAGTAACTCAGCAGTGGACACTCGAAGCATTGCCTAGAATGTTTCCAGAAGTCAGTGATGGCCGATGGCCAGAACACGTGAGCACCAGTGTATGAAGGAAGCCTCCTAACTGATGCCTCACATCTTGTGTAGTGAATTATGGAAGAGGAAAATGCCTCATTAAAGGTTGAAACCCTCAAAGAACTTGGCAAGTTCTTTTCCTTAGCCCACATGCACAATAATGGTGGAACCTCCATTTCCTCAGTGAAACTCAATCCCATTCAGTCTTTCCTTTCCAGAGTTAAATCTACAATATTAAATATTCAGATTCTAATATTTTTAAAATAAGGTATAAACCTAGTTTCTTAAAAGAATACTTCTTTAGAGCTAGTGTTGACTGACTTTCATTTCATTTTATTTAGAACTATTTAATACTAGTTCAATTCAGTTTTAATACTATTTCAATCTAGTGCCCAGATGTCTTAACATCTTTGTTTTCAGGTCTTAAGTCCCAATTTTCTGAAAATTCTGCTTAAAAAAATTATTTCTTACCTAGAATTTCTTGTATTATAAAAATATGGCCACCTTACCCACCATAAGAGTTGTCTATTTCCACTCCACCCATAATTATTAGTGAACAAGAATGCTTAACTTCCTGTACAGCTTCCTGTCCAGAAGGCATGATTAGATGTGACAAAGGGAAATGCATCCTAGAATCTCTGATGTGTGATGGGGGAGTAGACTGTGCAGATGGTACTGATGAGCCCACTACATGTGGTAAGAAACCAGTCACTTGGCTTTATGCGGGAGAAGGGAGAATGAGAGTAAATAACTCAGTGCCTTAGTTATCATTGGGATTCACCCTCTGAGAGAACACTGGGACTAAAAGTCCTACATAAGCAATTATCCTTCAGAGATGGATCCCTTACATTTTACAAGTTCTACTCCTTGGTTTTGGTCTCCTGAGTGTGAGCAAATGTTACACAGGCTGTCAAAAGTTTGAGAGTTATTCTCATGGTGTAGCTTTAGGGAAACAGACTAGCTAAATGCCTCAAACTATATTGTTCCTAAAATTTTGGAATAAAGAACACAGACTTTGCCCCTGAGAAACAGATCATTTGTCCAAGACAAAAAGGCAAATTTTCTAAGACTTAACAGAGGAAGGACTGAGGAAGACTACTTCCAGGGGAGGAGGAAGGCTACTGAGCAAGCAGCTTCAGCTTTTAAACCCTGTGGTTCTTATTGCAAAAATCACCCTTGCTTCGAGTTTGGGCAGAGGGAGGGTGGATATCTGTTCCCAGGTCATTTTGTCATTTTTCTCCTATTTCTCCCCTGAATTTTGTCTTAGATATATATGATGAAACCTCATTAGTACTGTTAAAAGCTGCGAAAAAAGATTTTTACTAAAGGAACAAAGAGATAGTAAGAATATAAGCAATGGGACAAAGTACAGGTTTCTGGTCCTGTACAAGTAAGTCATTGGGATTAGTAAAGTATATCACTTTCTAAGTTAAGGGTCCCAGGGGCCCTTTAAATTCTATAAATTCTAGAGAAAATAGAGAAGAGGTTGATGGTCCCTCCAGGGGAAAAAATATACCAATGCTTGAAACTGTCCAGACTGATATTCTTTTCTCCTGCTCCGTGATTCTTAACTTTCCCTTTTCTACAGTCTTCCCCCAAAGCTCCCAGGTTCCTAGGAAAGAGGTTAAGTCAAAGGTTATTCTTAACTAGTCATCTATTCCTCATACAAGTATAGAGGGTTTTGACACAACATGGTTTGTAAAGCATTTGATCTTTACTGTGTTTGACACAACATGGTTTGTAAAGCATTTGATCTTTACTGTGATCTTTACTACTGATCACTGTCCTGTCTCTACCAGGTAAAAACTGCTCTCTGGCCAACGGAGGCTGTGAGGGGCAGTGCAGTGACACAAACTGGGGTGTCTGGTGTTCATGTGGAACTGGGTGGCAGTTACAGCTGGATGGTCAGAGCTGTGGAGGTCAGAATTCATTTGGTTCATCTTTGTAAAAAGTTTTCATTGTATTAAAATATGCATATCATAAAACTTACCATTTTAATCATTAAGTGTACAATTCAGTCTTATCAACTACATTCACAATGCTGTGCAACCATCCCCAATATCCATTTCTAGAACTTTTTCATCATCCCAATAGAAACTCTGTACTCATTAAATAGTAACTCCCCAGGTACCCCTCCCTCATTCCCTGATAACCTCAATGGACTCTGTCTCTATTAATTTGCTTATTCTATAAGTGGAATTGTATATTATATTTTTCTTATTGTGTCTGGCTTATTTCACTTAGCGTGCCTTTAAGGTTCATCCATGCTGTAGCATGTATCAGAATTTCCTTTTTTTAAGATCAAGTAATATTCCATTGTATGAATATATCACATTTTGTGTACCCATTCACCTGTTGACGTACGCCTGGATTGTTTCTACCATTTGGCTGCTGCCATGAACATTGGTGTACAAGTATCTGTTTGAGACCCTGCTTTCAAATCTCTTGGGTATATACCAGAAGTGGAACTGCTATATCACATGGTAAATTCTGTGTTTAACTTTTTGAGGGACTATCAAACTGGTTTCCACAGTGTCTGTACCATTTGACATTTCCACCAGCAAAGCCCAAGGGTTCCAATTTCTCCCTCTGTGCCAATGCTTGTTATCATTCTCTTTTGTGGGACTTGCAAGTCAGCAGTTGACTAATGAGAAAATGTTAAATTTAGCATCTTTCTTTTATGAGGTTTCAGATTTTCTCTCATGGAATAAATATACTTGCCACTTCACGGCCATTCCTGAGGTCTGTGACAGCAGGGATGGCAGGACAAATTCTGAAGTTAGAGCTTATTATATGTTTATTCTTGCTTGTTCCTCCTTGCTGACCTTCTCTAAGTTACTCAGTCCTTCAAGTCTCATTTCTCCCCTTCGTAAAGTGGGATTACGATGCCAGAATAGCTAAAATAAATTTCAGATATCTTTGCAATTCAATAATAATCTGAACAGGTTATGGATATTATTTTGTAGCATTTGTCCATAAAAATATAGGACAGTATTTTAGGTTAAAATGTGATTAGGAAGATAAAAAATTGTCTTGATGCTTTGGCCTAAAGAGTAGATCAGACTTGCCACCCTAAGCTTGGTTGTTGACCCCTATTCAAAAGCTCCCTCTCTCTTCATGAGTTCCACCTGTAGTCCTACCCGCTTAGGTAGGAAGGATGTAAGAGGAAAGGCCCTGTTTTATTAGTTAACGTCCGACTTATGTTCAACAAAGACTTTTATATTAAGAATTCATCAAGAATTCTTAATGAGCCTATTTTGAAAAGACAACTAAATTTATTAATTCTTCATAAAGTCAGTGTCTGGTCATGACCTTGGAGAGGTCTGGATTTTACACACATGCCCAGACTTCTGTGGCATTCTTCTTATGTTACAGCTCATTGTAGTGATTGATTGGCTACTGAACTTGACTTGTAGCCATAAATTCTTCTCCAAGGCCAGAAAGGCATTATTCTACCTCAGGACCTTGTGGTTTTGGAGAATAATGTTTTCCTGGCCATGCCTTTAAGGAACTATATTCTTTACTGCTTAAATAACAACAAAAAAATTTTCCTAGTCCTATGACTTATACTCTAAAGGGTCCTTGCCATCTGGCTTTAAGAAATAATAGTACCTTATTTAAATTATATCAGTTAAAAAACTTATCTCTTTCCCATCATCTTGTATGAGATATCCTTTGGCATAGTAGTGAACTCTAGGCTCTAACTTTAACATTCTGAATTAGAATCTGACTGGCCTGACAAGTGATATATTCCCAAGAGTGTTGCTAAGGTAACATGGATCAATATTCTGTACCAGTCAAATATCTAGAGTCCTTATATTGACATTTTCACTGTATATTCATGTACATGGGAATACTATGGAGGCAAGGACTATCTATTTCAGCACCTAGCACAGTGACTTCCACAAAATACATGTCCAGTGAGCATCAGAAAGTGGCTTAAAAAAAAAATACTCACCTGAGTTCCTGGACCTTCTCTAACTTTTAGCTCTCTCATTAGATATAGATGAATGCTCTATGGTATATAGTCCTTGTGGCCAACTATGCCATAATACACCAGGATCTTACTCCTGTGGGTGTATTCAAGGTTACCAGCTCTATAATGGCACCTACTGTCAAGTTATAGGTGAGTTCTAATACCCAAAGCAAAGCCTTGCTCCTGCTCTATTCTTAGCAGTAATTATAGGTAAAAGTGATATAATTGGTTCATTTTAAAGTCCAATATTAGAGATGACTTTATTCTTTCCATAACATTCCTTGGCAAATTTGAGTGTCAATTTCTATCAGTCTATAAAATGACTTAGTTATTCTATTAGCTATACAACTAGATGCTCCAGAAACCCAATCGATGTAATCTTAACTTGGCCTATGCTTCTTTAATGATGGGACACATAAATATTTTGGCTGCTTTGTATGAGGCTTAGTTAGAGAGGACTTCTGTCTAGGTGAGGGGAAGGCTGAATCTGAAATCAAATAAGGCAGAAAAGCTCCAAAGATAGTTTTAATGAGCTGGAGTTCAGAGGAGGAGTTGAGATTTATGGTGGTCTACTAGATCTCCTCTGAATATGCTTTAGTCCAGACTTCAGGAATAAGTAGATGTTGGCATGGAAAATAGGACAACATCTTTAGTTAAAGAGAATGGTGTGAAAGAGTTTCAAGGTAATGTGCCACTGCTACTCTTCTACTTCTATTGCAGATGATGCTGTTAAAATTCTTACAGCAGCAGATCGAGAGCTTGGTGTCCTATATTGAGGAACAGACATCTATGAGACTCTGATACCTATAAAATCAAGGCCTACTTCCATTGCATATGATCTTGAGAGAAGCATGTACTTTTGGGTGAATGAAGTCTTAAATGTATTTGTCCTTGGAAGGCCAAACTTTGTTTCTCTCTACCCAGGTATATTTTTTGACATTTAGAGCTCTAGCTTCTTAAAGCTCTTTATACATAATATAGGAAGCAAATGTATCCATCCAGATACCTTCCTCATACCTTCCTCATGACTCACTTATCATGAATCATGAAAGTACATAAAATCCCAGTATGAGACAACACTATATAATTTCTATGCTCTACTGGAGATTTGTAGAGTATAACTTGAGAACTAAATCAGTATTAAGCAGTACAGAAAGTTCTGGGCTCAGGTCAAGGTTAGTCAGCCCCAAGGTTAGTCAAGGTAAGTAACCTTGAGCAAGCTGTTAACTCCTCTGAGTCACCCTTTATAAGATGAGGGTACTAGCATTTGCCTCACTATGTAAGTATGGGGATTAACTGATAGCAGTGAAGAGGTAGAGTTCATAACAATTCACCTGAGATAGCTATAATAAATATTGACCCAAATGGAGACAACATTCTCTTGGATTCCTTGGTTATGCTTCTGTCAAGGTCCTCCTTTTTCCCTACTGCCCACTATGTATTAGAAACACCTTTACAGTCACTCCCAGTGTCCTATTTGCCTCACTGTACAGCTTGAAATCAGAAGCTGTAGGAAAGTTTTGTCTGAGTCTTTTTTTCAAGCTAAAATGGGTATAGAAGACTACGGGAACATAATACTTTCACCTGTGTCCCCAGAACTTAAAACAGTGAACAGTGTCTCTTTGGACTGGTTTACGGGACAGTTGTATTGGGCTAGCAGCTTTGCAAGGGTCATCATCTGTGCTGGTTTAAGTGATGGCAGAGGCTACATCAAAATCTTGTAAAAGGACCTTGTGCCAGAGCAGCTAGTCGTGTTTCCTGCAAAGAAGTGTTTCTTTGGGAATATATCCAAAATCATTGGTAATCTCGATTATTTATGTTGATAAGAGAACACTTCAACTTTTTCTAACTGGATTTCATTTGCTCCAGAAAAGTCTTAACTTTGAAATTTAAATGGAAAATTATAGAGCCAAACTTTTTAAAGTCTACCGAGTCTAAGAGCAGAAATCTCCAGTATCCTGAGTACTGAAATGATACGAGGCCTGTATGAGAGAGCTGAGGGAGCTTGGTTGTTCAGAATAATAGACATGCAACTGAGGGTATTCTCAAACATTTCATGCTTTTGCTTTTCTCAGGTACTTGTATTGGGTAAATCGAGATCGGAAAGGCATGAAGACTATTGCAACTGCAGGGATGGATGGCTCTGATAGGAAGATGCTTGCAGTTGTAAACATGGAGGAACCTGTAGGACTGACACTTGACCATGTGACTGGCAGGCTCTACTGGATCAGTAAATATAAAGAGGTACTGTAGAGAGGTCAGGAGGAAAAGGTAAACCATTTTAGTTAGGGCTTGGGATGACTCTGGGTAAGTACAAATCTCTCTTACATCTTACATCAACTCGGTGAAGCATCTTCTGAGTGTGAAAACTGAGAAACCTAAGCTGTAATTGCCCAGTGTCTTTAGGTAGAGCCAGACTGTGTCAACATAGGCTAGGAGACTTGATGTGACTTTCTTAAGCACTCTACAGTCAAACTTAGCGTTGGACTTTCCTGAAAGCATAGCTCACGTTCTATGTTGTACCTAGGATACTAAACCTTTTAAGATGGCAGACCATGTACTGGAAAGCATGCGGATATTAGGGACTTCAGTGTCTCATATTTCTAGTTCTTAATATTACAGTTCATGTTATCTCATTTATGGAAGCATCAGACTAAAGTACCAGTACAACCTCATGGCTAAAAACATAGGCTCGAGAGTCATATTTTTAAGCCTGTTACTTCTAGCTGTAATTTTGGCTACTTATGGTGCCTCTTTGAGCTCCCAGTGCCCTTTCTGAAAAGAGATAAAATGCTTATTTCAGAAGGCAATTGGAGAAGGTAGTTAAAGGACTTGGCACAATGTCTGGATGTGACAATATGTTATAGTAGCTTCTCGTACAACATATCTGTGATCCCAGTTTGTACAAGAAGCAGTCCAATCCACTGGCTTTGGCATTCGCTTCCATGAATCCTAAGATGAATTTATCTCTATCATGTTGCTGTCATGTGAAGGAGATGTTTAATCAGTGTCCAAGAGACTGAGGTGCACTAACATCGTCAGCACCTCTTGCTAATGCTTCCATGCTCTCATGAGACTCTCTAATCCTCAGTCCATAGAGACGATAAATGTGGATGGCAGTGGGAGGCACACATTTCCTGAGATCTTCTTGGAAGATGAAGATCTAGTAGGAATAGCTGTATTTGAGAACTCTTTCTTCTGGACAAATAAAATACAGCTGCTTCATACATCACCCCACACCTCGAAGGAGAGAGTAGTGTTGCTAAACACTTCCGTATTGCTTTCTCAGTCCTCCACGAATCCCAATAGCCTAAGAGTAAGTCAACACCTTGCTTTTGAAATGCTTATGAATCATAATGCATACTAAACACTAAACAGAAACTGCCTAAATTACTACCTGGTCTGTTGTTGTAACTTGCTATTTTGAGGCAGGAGGAATGTTCTGGGTATGATTCCAGACTTACACAGGACTTCTAAGTGAGATGAACTGAACAAAGACACCCCTGGGAAACTCATTCCAAGCATGTACCTTCTTCCCATCCAGTGTAGTTACCATATTTTTAATATTTAAAATACACAAAAGAAGGTAGGAAGATATTCACAGAAGGGTTAGAATAACTTACTTACTAACAATGTCAATTGATAACAGAAAATTAAACCAAGCCCAGCATTCTGTTTATAGAAGGAAGTCAAATATTCATTGACTAGGGTTAAAAGCTTTTGCTAATCTGAAATTGTATGTCAGATTCAATTCAGATGATGCTTCTTAAATGGGTCTGAGAAACTAAACAAAGTAGAGAGCCTAGACCTCTCTTCTAAGGAAGTCTTCCTATAAGCAAGTTAGAAAATCATTTTGCCTTAACTCTAAGGGAGAAGATGCTGTTGGTGAGCTTATTGTAGATAGGTAATTATCATTACCTGAAAGATGGGAGACCATAGAAGTTCAAAGGTCAGCATGTTTAACCTAGAAGGTAACAAGTTTTCAGGGACTCTTCTTAAGGCAGAAATGACTTAGCTTCCCCTGAGTGTTAAATTTTAAACTAGTATGCATAAATAAATCTGAAATCGTATCTAACCTATTTCTATTTTAAAATAGGCAGAGACCCAGAGTGTGAGGATCTTGCAGCCACTTATGTCTCCTGTCCCCTGTCCTTCCCAAGGGCTATAAATGTGTTTGTCCAGAGGGAATGTTTCTTTTACCTTCTGGTACATGTAGTGGTAAGTATGGTGGGTGAAATGGGTTTGGCTCAAGGAGGCACATTCCGTGGCAGGCCTGGGAAGAATGTAGCCTCTGTTTTCGGATCAATCATGTTTACACTGACAACTTACTTTGGTAACGAGTTTTGTTATCAAAAGACCTCAATTAGTTTTTTTCTGGTGTTAAAATATGCATAACATGAAATTTACTATTTTAACTATGTATAAGTATACAATTTAGTGGCAATAAGAACATTCACATTTTTGTGCAACTATCACCACCATCCATTTCCAGAACTTTTCGTCTTCCCAAACTGAAATTCTATGTCCGTGAAGCAGTAGCCAACCATTTTTCTCTCTCCCAGCTTCTGGTAAACACTATTTTACTTTCTGTCTGTATGAATTTGACTACTCTAAGTACTTCATCAAAGTGGAATCATACAGCATTTTTCGTTCTGTGACTGGCCTACTTCATTTAGCATAATGTCTTCGAGATTCATCTACATCATAAAATAGAATTTCCTTTCTTTTTAAGGCTGAATAGTATTATATTTATATTTAATTTTTAAAATATAAATAAAATTATGTATATATACATACACACACATACTACATTTTGTTTATTCATTTATCCATCAGTAGACATTTAGGTTTTATTAGTTTTAAAACAGGAAAAAATAGCTTACATCACTCAGTTTTATGTGAAAAAATAACAACTAAGTTGGTATAAGAAATTCTCTATAGTCTTATGACTATCGTGTGTTCTGACTTATATTTGCAAACAGTCTATTTCAAGGTTGTTAACATCAGTCTTTCATGTTGCTTTCTATCTTTGCAATATTAAAGGCTATATAATCATTGAACATCTCTATTCAAATTACTTCTTCTATAGAACATTGAGCTTTTAAGAATAAATGATATAAATGTGTTTATGTTCTAATTACCTTTAAAAAACACAGTTTACAGGGTAACCACAGGATGCAATCATGGTGTAATAAGCTATAGTGCCAAACTCAAGACTTCGCCTTAAATTGTATTTGGAACATTACATGTACAGTTAAACACCCAAGTAACTTTTCTTTAACTAGGCAATAGAGTTTTAAATTCTTTGTACTGAGATTTGTATGATATAAGCAAGAGCTTAACAACATCATTGAATCAAATGGCCTAGCACTCCAGCCCTACACCCCATGATTCTGTGTTAACCTTTTAGCAGAAATTCAGAAGAATTAGTGCCTTGAGAAAGCTGAACAACACTTTCATTTACCCAAATGACTCCCTTCTCTAAGGAAGACAGGGCATTTATGTTGCATGTGTGCTTCAGGAGTGAACTTTATTAAGTTCCCTTTCTAGCGGTGCCTCAGCTTGAGAGAGGGGCATTTGCTCACGGAGGGAGTGTGAGGCTTATCTGACAAACGGTAATAGAGTGAAGCTCTTCTTTCCCTTCTAGAGTTAAAACTGTTATTTTCTTCCGGAAAACATCTCTACTTGTTGAAAGTCGGTTTTATTGGAACTGCAATAGAGAAAACCCTAGTTCAAGAGCATCGTAGGAACATCTATCTATTGGATGTTGACTGGAAAAGAAACCTCATCTACTGGACAAATGCCCAGGACAGCTGTTCTGCTTGACTGGCTATTCAAGAGAAAAGCAAGAGATTTGGACGGAGCGTACAGGTCAGTTGGAGAGGCAATTTTGGATTTTTCCTTTATTTTGACTCTACAGCCCAAAATACCTACCTGTTTTTGATCTGAAACAACCTTAATGCAAAGAGTGGATTTTAACTAATTTAAATGTTAAATGTCTCTGATTTACCCTTGTTCTTAGACTTTTAAAAGGCTACCTCGATTTGGGGAATCCTAGGATCAATGGTAAAGTACTAAAATTCTATTTTTCTGGCCTTAAATCTGAGGGGGCTAGAAATGGACCTTAAATACTTCAATTTTGCATTGTAGATTTTCTTACACTAATTTAGAAGTAATTTGCAGTGCAGATTTTGGAGAGAACTAGCAAGGTATTTTCTTAATATGGTAATATATACTTTCCCTCCACTCCTACACACCTAAATGCCACACACACACACCTCACCCTTAGCTCCTTGTTCTCAGCCTAAATACAACATTTCTTTATAAAGGATAACTGAGTCTTGAGCTCTCCGGTTGAGTAATTTGATTTCTGAATGTCTGTGCCCTGGGTACTCTAATTACCAAGGGTATGCTTTACTACAAGAAGTGCTGCACTGAAATACAAGGCTTTGAGACACCCTGCAGAGCAGTAGACCCTACCCAGCGTCCTGTGGGCAAGCACAATGCCTGGCACATAGGAGTCTCAGTACCTGACCTAGAGAATCTTCAGGAGAAACTGAAATGGGCAGTGGTCTTTGGGATACATCTGATGGCTACCTAGGAAACTCTCAATGGTGAATTTCTTCCCACTTAATTAACATTTTACCTTCCCCCAGCTAGCTACTCCTTGCCAATCGGTTTCTGTGTTACAATTATTACATCAAGGATTTGTAAGAGGCTGACAATTTTATTTGAGTTTCCTCTAGTGTTGAATATTCAGTCCCTTTGGTAAGTGGCTGTGAAATTATGTAAAAATGTACATACTGGTCTCTGCCCCAAGTTTCTGGCTCAGAGTTCTTGAGACCTTTGTTATTTCCTGCGTGATAGAAGCATCTGACAGAGCTCCTAAATCCCTTGAAATTTCCTGGGTGATAGGGGCATCTATTCTAATGAGGTGATTCTTGGTGGTTCTAAGGAGGTGATTCTTGGTGGTTCCTAGGTGGGGATTGGTCATTAGAAAGACCAAGCTATGATTAGAAGCAAAGAACTTTCAGCTCCACTCCCCATTCATTGGAGAGGGAGAAGAGATGAAAATGGAGTTAATAATCAATCATGCAAATGTGATGAAGCTTCTGTAAAAATCCCCAAAGTACCAGGTGAAAAGATCTCCTGGATTGGTGAATACGTCCATGTGCTGGGAGGTTGGTGCCCACCAACTCTGTGGGGACAGAAGCTCTTGTGCTTGGTATTCTTCAGATGTTCCCTTGTGTATCTCTTCATCTCGCTGTTCACCTGTATCCTTTATATAGTAAACCAGCAGATGTGTTTCTCTGTGTTCTGTGAGCTATTCTAGCAAATTATCAAACCGAAGGAGGGGTATGTGGGAACCTTGATTTAGAGCCAGTCAGTCAGCGTACAGATGACAACCTGGGACTTGAGATTGATGTCTGAAGTGGGAGACTGAGCCCTTAATCTGTGGGGTCTAATGCTAACTCCAAATAGGTAGTGTCGAAATTTAATTAAATTGTAGGACACCCAGCTGGCATAGCAGAATTGCTTGGTGTGTGGAAAAACTCACACATCTGGCATCAGAAGTATGTGGTATGAGTAAAAGAGATGCACAGGATTGTTTTTCCTATACAGTGGACAGAAGCTTGACAGAGTCAGGCAGACCTTTTATAGGTGGTAATTAGCTTGAGCCGTGCTATCTAGACCTGTTTACAGATCTCAGGGCCTCCTTAAAACCCATGAGCATCAGCTTTCAACTTATCCTGACATCAAAGCACACTGACATCTGAGTTGTTTTTTCTTAAGTGTGTTAATCTTGTCCTCATATTAAAAATCAAGGCTGGAAAATACAGATGAAATTCCTAATCAAAAACAGGAACCCTTCAAAATTCTGTTTTAGAAAAGGGTATGTGTCTTTAAGAACCTGTGTAGAGCTGCTCAAAGAACATTCTGTGACATTGACAACTGGGCTTTCTACCTTGAATCTGTGTAGCACCAAGGTTAAATCTAACTCCAGAGATAGCACATGTTCTCTGCAGATGGCAGAGCCCACAAAGAAGAGAGAAGCTGAATCGGGTGTGGCCAGTCTGTTCCTAACTTGCCAACCTTAAGTCACTTCTTTTCTGGGCAAGAGTGACTTGAAGAATGTGGGAAGAACTCAAGCAAAATTCTAGGCAAGTTCCTCCACATGTAAACATGAAGAATAGTAAAGACATGCTCCCACCCTAACACCCAGGAAGCAGGAAGAACTTATAGCGCATTAAGCCCTATATGTACTGGCTACCACATTTTTCCACCCATGCTCCACTTTCATGCCTTGCCTGTTTGTTACCTTCTCTGGTAGTTGACATTTGAGTTCTTAATATAATACTCAGTGGCGTTCTGGGATATATTTAACAACTGAATCTCTGGGGGGGAAGAGTGTGCATATATACACCTATATATGTTTATAATAAAGCTTATTGATATAAAAGATAGGTAACACACAATTCACAAATAATAAGATATATGACATTCTTGATTGTAAATTTCATATGGCCAACTGATTTTCACAGATTGTTTTTTTATTCTGAATTCTTGGACCTGTGGCCAATCTGTGGTTGTAGTTCAATCAAGAAACAACAAAACCCGATTATGAATAGATGCTTGACTTCTGATTTGGCAAAGAAGTCGATGCCATTATTAAGTGAATGTAGTCTTGATGTGAATGTTGTTTGACACTTTTGTTTCTATAAATTAGTGAGATGAAAGTAAAGCAATGAATTAGTTCATCAATGACATTAATGACTTATCTGTAGAATTGGGTAATAGTTTTTAAATACTAGAAAAATGTTTGCTTAAGTTTTTGTGGTGTTTAAAATGTAATAACTATAGACACAGCACTTGCAAGTTTAATCTGCAATATTAGCATTTTCTTTATCAGTTTCTTAAATCTAGGGCAAGGGTTGTGAACCTCTTTCTATAAAAGACCAGATATAAATAGTTTAGGCTTTTGGGGCACTCTGCCATTGTATCTCAAAAGCAGCCACAGACAATATGAATGAATGGCCATAGCTGTGTTCCACTAAAATTTTCAGACCATAGGCTGGATTTGGCCCAAGGGCCGTTATTTGCCAGTTGCAGGTTTAGAAAACAAAATCGAAACCAAATAAAACCCTGATTTCTAGTGTTTGTTATTTTTAGTGTAAATACTCCCACAATGCCAGATTTCAAGCTACTGATAAAACACTGCTAAACATGGAGCTGGGAGGGGTGTGCAGCAGCAGTCTATAAGTGCTATTTCCACCATACAGATACAATAGACGTCAATAACCAAGAGCATAGGTAACAGTAAAATGTAGGAAAATAAGTGATGATATGAGTATTTATTAGTTTTATTTCAAATATGATTTAAGTTTATATAATTTAGTTTTTAATAATGGCTATACTGAACGACAAGCTTACAGAATTCCAGAATTTAACAGTTGGTTGTTATGAACACTGTTCCAAAATGACAGACACTATTGTAAGCTATTCATATGTATTAACTCTAATTTTCATAACAGCTCAATGAGAGAAGTACTGTTTCTATTAAAGGACACCTTATTTTGGAAAAATGTTTCAAACAAGGCAGTATGACTTGCTAGCCTAATATTGCTCTTAACCTTTAAGCTATACGCATCCCAGAGTAGGTGATACCTAGCTAGAACCGATTGTGTATCTAGCTATAGTGGGTGGGATGGGAGTAGAGAGAGTGCTTTGTAGGTTAGTGCCTAACTCTATTATTCACATCTAGAAACCAACACCTCATCTATAGCCATGCTACTCTGAACAAGCCCTATCCCATCTCATCTAGGAAGCTAAGCAGGGTTGGGCCTGGTTAGTACTTGGATGGAAGACCACCTAGGAAGACCAGGTACTGTAGGTGTAAAAAATTAAAGAATAAGGGATTATTATAAGCTAAGAAGGTCTTTGCTATCTGTGAGGTCAACCAAGGGTTGCCTCATCTGAAAAAAAAAAAAAGAAAGAAACCAACACCTCATGACTTTTATATACTCGGCCCCTATCATGTGTCTTCTAGTTGTAGATCTTTTTGCTATCCATTCTCCCAGTGACCTTTCATACCACTGGCATAGTGTCATTTTAGCTCAATCTCTGCTTTCCTATAACAATTTTAGTCCTAGTCAATTGATGTATACTTGATTGATTTTTACACTTAGCCAGTAAAGTAGACAGAATGTGAATCCAAAGTTGTAGACCTGCATTCAAATGCAAGCCTTGCCACTTGGATATCTAACCTACGAAATTCAGTAAATTACAGGGATCAAATGAGCGCGTATGATAGACAAGGTGCTGGAACCAGAGCAGATATGATGGGACTTATCATGCAAACAGGAGTGTAGGTTTATTAGGGACTGGTCTTTGCATGTCCCGGTTGTCTCCTTATCCTTTACTCAAAGCTTAAGACAGGACGTGAATATATCTGAGTGCCCTTTCTAATGGAAATTACTTTTCCTCTTTACAGTCTGCTCAGCAAATGTGGACATATCAACTGGAAACTTATACTGGCTGCCCTGTGACAGAAGGGCTATCCAGAAGACTAGAATTACTGGCCCAGATACACATACACTCTACAGAACGAGCAGCATTATACTTCATCTTCTTCTCAACTGGCCATAGAGGGTGCTCTACTGGGTAGAAATTGGGAAGCACTTGCAAAGTATGACGCTTGATGGCAAAAACAGACAGGAAGTCCTGGACAGCAGATATCCACATGGCCTTAGACCTTGGCTCATCTAGTATCCTCTGGACCACCAAAAGTCTAGGTAAGCACCACACAAACAGTGCAGTCGGAAGAAGCTTTAGGGAATGAGTGAGAGTCTTGCTTTTAGTAAAATGATTCTGGTTACTCTTAGAACCAGGTAGATATAAGCTCAAATTTCCTATTTTCATAGTTAAAGTTTGGGTACCAGTCACTTACTTCAACCTCCGTTCTCATCTATAAGTCTAGATATATGATTTACAAGGGAAAACTTCAGAAATAACATTGTAGCTTTTTGCAGTGTTCAGAATTTGCTTCTATTTCTATAAGAAGTAATGGAACCAAACTTTCATTGCAAATTAAATACAGGTACTTTAGCTATAACTTGATAACAGGTACAAGTTATTTGTTGTAGCCAGATTTAGTAGCCTTCTCACTGAGAAGCCATCCTTGAGTCCTAGCAGCTATGCCAGGTGTTTTAGTGTACACACGGAAGGTGGTAAAGTCATATCTGATGTGCCCACATGGCAGACTTAAGCCTCTCTTTTTCCTGGAGCTTTAAATATTTCATTGGACCATCTTTAACTATAAAACTAAAAACTACAAAACTTGATAGGAAGACTCTGCGCTTATTTTCAGTTTGGGGTCATTGAACCTGAATCAAATGATATTCCACTGTCACAGGTTATTTGTTCTATATCAGCTCGTAAGAACCTTATTTTTCCTTAGGGTTGCAAAGTCCGAGTCTCCTAAAAAATAGAATATATACTTTGAACAAGACCTGGAGTGATGGTATTATAGCGGCCCATGAGCCCTACCTGGTGACTGTGAATGGAGCAGCTCTTGTGCTGTGGAACAGGAGGATGCTGGAGCCCTTCTCAGTGTCAAAAGAGCCATACGTGAGAAAAATGATTATCCTGGCAGAGAACCAGGAAGTTCCAGGCAAGTCTTCTCTGTGGGGTTATTCTTTAAGATCCACTTTACCTGGCTCTTCTCAGTGTGTTTTTATAGGATAAAATCCTGGATATCTTTATGTTTGTACTGGCAGTTGTTCCGACCCACAGCTCAGCAGGTCTTCTCCCTAACTTGTCCATGTCCTGGAAGAGGAAGATTCTAACATGGTTCTCAGAGTTGCTAAATGACACATGTCCTTGAACAATAATCTGAGAACTCTGCACACCATGACCCCTTTTGAGAATCCTCTTGCACATTAGCATATTAAAGCTCTTAATCAGTTAAGAGAGCCACTGATTTTGCTCTAAGCGGCTTCCCAAACTGATTTGACTAAGGAACCCCTTTTCCCACAGCAGTGGCATCTTATGGAGCACACTTTGTGAAGTGTCTCTGGAGCTGTGGGTGCCAGGCCAGGTAGTGCTCTCCTCCTGTAGAAGCTATGTCTTGTCATTTAGATTAACCCATTTAAAGATTAACCCATTTAAAACTGGTTTAATATATATGTGTGTGTGTGTGTACACACACACACACACACACACACACACACCCCTTTGCAACAGAGCTAAAAAATCTGATCTTAGATCATAAGGAAAAAAAAGAAGAAATCCTATCATAGGATTCATGGCTTTATCAGCAGAAGTAGCTGGAAGTCCCAAGGAAGAGCAGAAGCGAAGAGCAAAGAGGGATGGAAATATTCCTTTTTTATGTACCCAATCCACAAAGGTCTCTCATCTCCCTTTTCTGCCTCAACTGCCTTACTTATTCCCTCATGGGTTGGTTTAACCTGATCTTAAGGATTAAGAAGCATTAGGTATAGGACATAGGTAGTAACATATGCCAATAAACAGTTAACTTTTTGGTAACAAATCCAGTTTTGATTTTTCTACTAACAAATTTGCTAGGATGCTGCAATAATTGCTGATGAGTATTAATTGGTAACTTTTCATAAGGTAACTTGCACATCTCAACAAATGAGTGTTCACCTTATGCTGACCCCTGTCTAGACCATAAAATGCTATAGCAGGGAACTGCATAGAGCAGGTCCCTGTCTTCAGTAAGTACCTTACTTTATTTTTCACTCCCAGAATATAGCATGAGCAGGTGGTAAAACAAAACAAAACAAAACAAAACAAAAAAAAACAAAAACAAGGTTAAAGATAATAGACCTGAAAGGAGAAAACAATTTGCCCAGATTCAAAGCCATTAGATTATAGGCGAATGTACCACACTTAATCTAAAAGTTAGTCTTTGGGTCAGTTTTACTTTTTCTTCCTACAAGGTAGGAGGATGTAGCTACCCAACCACGACCTAGTTTTCTGGAGGAGGGGCCCAGTAGAAGCACATCTCCATTGATGAAATCTAATGGACCACTTTGAAGCAGCTTCTTATTCTAGATCCAGAGGTTGAAGGAGCAGCCGCGAGCACCCAACTTACTCGTCCCCCACCACTCCCTCTACTTTGTACCCAATATTCTGACCTCTGTCAGAACGGGAAGGAATGCATATGTTGGGAGTACCTCTGTGATGGTGGGCGTGACTGTCAGGATGGCTCCGATGAAGAGACTGTTCCCAGCTCTGCAACAGATCAGGTCTGTCACCATTTCCCCTTCTTAGTCTTTTGTTCCAGGTACACTGAGTCAGACTTGGGTGCATGGTGTGAATTGCCAGAGTATTTATTATCATTATACTTGCTTTTCCTTGATAAATTTTCATAGATAAAAGTCATAGTCTGTCAGAATACGGATTCTGTGAGGGCTCATTTTATGGCTTCCTCATTTCTTCAAATTTGTTTAAGCGTTCCAATATCTGCCTTTACATAGCCGGAGTCACAGAGCGACCTTGGTAGGGTTCTAACAAATCGTTCAAGTAACCAACCAAATGTAAGGTCATATTTAAACAACCTAGTTCAGCTTGCTAACCTAATTGACGTAAGAACTTTATTGAAGCTTGCATATGGATCAACTAAAATACAGAGCCCAAATAACATGCAGTCTATCTATTTACCCCTCAAACTCCAGAATGAGGGCAAGTTAATCTACTTTTGAACCTTCAGCATGACGGAGTGCATGGTGCTAGCTTTTGACCCTTTCCATTTAAGGGGTCTTCCAGTGTCTGGACAGAAGCAAGTGCACTGAGGAGAAATACCGCTGTAATGGGGCTCAGCAGTGCTTGGACTGACGAGTTGGACTGCTGGAAACCCACTGAAGACTGTTCTCTGCGCTGTGACAACAAGACCCACTGTATCCCTGAGAGCTGGCTATGTGATGGCAACCCAGACTGTCCTGACAAAAAAGATGAATAAGGATATAGTAAGTTCCATGAAACTTCCTAGAGTATTTAAGACTGTATTTCAGTTGATTCTCCTTATTCATGTAGTTATGTTCTATAGTTGCTATGATCACTGAATTAGCAGATATTGAATCATTGCTTCTAGAATAAATACAAAATGAGATTTCTACAAGTCTCTGGTCACAATATTTTTGTCAACCAATAAATATATAACCTTATTTTACGTGTTTCCATTTAAAGACAACTTAATATATATTGTTGGCTCATTAATACTGAAGTCACAGCCAATGGCACAATATGTCATGCATGAACAACGACCATCTAGCACACATATTTTTCTCCATAATGCACATCATAGACTTCTTGCACTTAGGAACAGTAGACTGCATATCAGCACTACACTCATTTTAAACAACAGAATCACCAAAAAGTACAAAAATGTGAAAAGCATGGCCCTAAAGAGACTGCAAAAAGGACACCTACGTATAGTATGAGAAATGAAATGACAGCAGAGCGTTGCCTTGTTCCACCTCAACTGGAAACACATGTGTCAGGCAACTCAGTACTTCTGCCACTTTGTATATCTTGGGAAATAACCATGAATGTGTGGGAGTATTGATTTTGGGGGTTACAAATAAATTTTAGCAAGGAGGAGAATGTGCAAATACTGAATCCACAAATGAGGACTGACTGTAGTTACTGCAGAGTTAACAAACTAAGATGAAAGTTTCTGAGTAAGAGGGGATTTGGAGATCATGCTGCAACATTCTCCTTTGCATGAAAAGAAGATTTCTGTAAGTGGAAAACAAATCTTCTACCGAAATAAAGGATTATTTCTTACCGAGCTAAAATCTACCTCCCTGAAGATTTTAATTTTGGTCCTACATCTTCTCATGGGATGGGCCATCTCATTCGTAGATGTCATTGCTGTCTCTTTATTTTTAGGGGATACATAATCTTTATTTGTATTCTTCCTAATGACACGTTTCAAAGACCTTAATCATGTTGTGAGATTAGACTAGAAGAGAGAATGTGGAGAATTGAAGTGGGAAGGAGAGGAGTCTGGGTAAGGTATCATGATAGATTTGGATGTGGAGGCAACTGGGTATCTACAGCATATGACAACTTGGGCTGATGAGAAGGACATCGGGAGGAAAGAGACATGAGAAGGAAGTAGGGAGGAACCCAAAGTATAAATTACTTTTCAATATGTATTTACAGTTTTGCTGAGGACCTGACCCTTTTTCTTGAACCAATTCAAGCAACTTCTATCTGTAAATTATATACATAATTTACATAAATTATACATAAATTATAGAATATATTGGGTATTGTGGGGAGATTTCTTTTTTCATGGATGATATTAAGGGGCCCAGAGGAAAATCCCACTATCCTTCCTAGTCCAGTGTCTCATCCTTGTCCCTCAGTCTTTGTTCGTAGATGTCATTGCTGTCTCTTTATTTTTATGGGATACATAATCTTTATTTCTAGGACAGAGAGGATTTTCTGGGCTAGCTTGGTAGGCCTTTTCTGGCCTAGCACTGTACTTGAACTATCTCTCTGCCCTAACGCATGCTGAGGCTTAGTTCCCAAGGTGACAGCAGAAGACCAGGAGTCTTCAAACCACTTCATTTGCCATCGATTCACTTCTACATCTGAGTTCTTACTTAATGCTTTATTTTTCAGTTCATGAAAAATGCAGCACATCTGAATTTAGATGTGAGAATGGCCAATGCATATCTTATTCTCTGCATTATGATGGGAACTGAGACTGCCTGGACCACTCAAATGAAGATGGCTGTCCTGTTTCCTGGCCCCTGCAGTGCCCATCGGGGCAGGTGAAGTGCCCCCAAAGTGGAGAATGTGCGTTGGCAGAGTGGATATGTGACCATGACTTAGACTGCAGAGATGGAAGTGATGAGAAGGTAGCCCAGTCTTCTTGCAGAAAAATAAACTAGATTTCTAATCACAGCAGTGACACACACGTCCCTATAAAAAAACTCGAGAAATCAAGAATAGAGAAGTTGCCCATAATTACTCCCCAGAAGGCCACTCGTAATTACACCAACATGTCCAAAGTTTTAAGATCCTCCTGTTGAAAGTTAAACTTTTAAGAGGTTTTTTATTGTAGGTTTATAAATGTTACGCCTTGATGGCCATGGCTTAAATGTCCTACCCAGAGAGATGCTTAGCTCTTCCCATAAAGTATGTTGAAGTTACCACATTGTGTGAGATACAGCCTGGGCTTGAAGCCTACCGCTTGCATTTGACCTTAAGAAAGTACTTACTCCCAAATGCTTTATTTACTCATTAGTAAAATTGGTTTAAGGTGTGCCTTGTAGCACCTGAGGGGTCAAAAGTAGATCTAAAGGCTCTGGGATATAGCATATGCACAGATGTTCCCTCCCTTCCTCTTGTACATTCTGCTCCAGACCTGAGTATCCAAGGCAGATTAGGTAAAAAATATGTTGTAAATATTAATGTACTAGGATGTGAGTTAGACATGGTGGGAAGAATTCTAGAGAAGAGTTTCTGGAGCAGATTGTTTTGTTTATGCTTCTTAAATTAAGACTTCCTGGTTTGACAAAATAAGACATTTCTTCCCTCTTCCCACTCACATTTGTATCACCAAGAACTCTTCCTATAAATTCCAGCTACAGAAAGAGTTTCTTATGATTCCTGTCACCTCCAAGTCTTTAGGCTCTACCTGGCTTGATTGCAGAAGGGTCTTGAGAGTTGTCTCATAAACAGAGACATCCTCTTCCCCTAAGAACCCTCTCCTGGGTGCTGAATGTAGGCATTGCTAAGTCTCTCACTGTCTCCTCAGGATTATGACCTTGAGGAGCTTTGGTGTGGCTCCAGGCAGTGATCCTGTGCCAGTGGAGACCAGTGTGTGCCTGATTTATGGTGCTGCGATGGGCAGCGTGACTGCAGGGATGGCAGCGACGAGGCCGGATGTGAGTGTGGGGGGCTCACACTAAGGGGGAAGGCAGATGGCTTCAAGAGGCACCTATCTCTTGCTTCTGCTTAGCATGAGAAACCAACTCAGCAATCAAATGCTACAGGACCTGAAACTCATTCCTTTACCAGAATGGAGGCATCTTGTACACAAGGGCAGCCTTGCTGTGGGAGGGGTGTTTGAGGAGTAGACCATGAAAGTAGAAAGTCATCCTCTCCGGGCTCTCCTAAGAAGTGCCAGAGTTCTGAGTTCCGGTGTCACTCCTACACCTGCCTCAACCTCAGCCTTGTGTGCAACGGGAAGGAGGACTGTGCAGATGGCTTTGATGAACATAGAAAGTGCTAATCATCAGCATGCAGCCAAGCACAGTGTTCCCACACCTGCTACCAGTCCCCACGTGGGCCTGTGAGTTCTTCAGTTACTGTTTTCTAGCATCTCTAAACTTTGTTTAGTGAAAGAGGGCAAATTCCTCATTCAGGCTCTCCCTGACTGCTCCTTAAGGTCTAAGTCAGGGGTCCCCAGCCCCTGGACCGCAGACTGGTATCAGTCCTAGCCTGTTAGGAAGCGGGCTACATAGTAAAAGGTGAGTGGCCAATGAGCAAAGCTTCATCTCCAGTGTTAGCATCACTGCCTCAGCTCCACCTTAGATCATTGGGCACTAGATTTTCATAGGAGCACCAGTCCCTGGTGCCAAAAAGGTTGGAGACCACTGCTCTAAGTCTTACATGAGAGAGCTGTCCTGACCCATCTACTGATGGCTCTGTGCCTGAGCATTTCTGGGCTTCTGGTGAGTCCTTTCTAGTTCCTTCCCTATTCTGTGTCACCACTCAGCCTTCAGAAACTCTACTACAATGGTTTTTTCCCACCTCAGCTGTGAACTCTGGTTGACAGGGCTAAGCAAGAAGTTTTTGTGGAAGTCCCTTCCATACGAGTATTTCTAATGGGACTGGCCTTAAATTGAGGACTGCTCATGCATTCTACTAGCATTATTAGTTGGCTGAACATAGGGACCTTGGTTCTGATGGGCAAGTAGAAGAAAATTATGTTCTGATGTCTGGTCATAGAAACATTGCTATTGGTAGACAACCAGTTCTGTTAAGTCTATGTACCTCTTCACTCACCGATTATGCTGGGGTTCTATGTGTCCTCATCTGAACTTGGACACCTTTGATAACTCCGGACACATGGTGGTGGCAAGGGAGTGAGGTGTGTGGGAGGACTGATAGGAAGAGAGTGACTGTATTCAAAATAAAGTTGGTCCTGAGAACCATTTGAGTTGCTGAAATTGAGTGTATTGCCATGGGCTTTTTATAGCAAGGTCAAGGCCTTTTTATCAATGTTGTACTGTCTTCATAAAGTCTTAATGTTTTCCAACTTCTTTCAGGTATATGCTTGTAAGCAAGGCTTTGAACTGAAAAATAGTGGCCGAATCTGCAAGGATGTGGATGAGTGCCAGAAGCTGGGTAGTCGGCCTTGTAGTCAGACCTATATCAATACTGAGGGTTCCTATAGTTGTACTTGTCATGCTGGCTACTCACTGGAGCCTGATGGCCATGCCTGTAAAGCAACAGTAAACTGGAGCTGGGGATATCTCCTAGGCCCTGGATCATAAGCTTCGAAGTCTTAAATCTTCCAAGAATACCAATGCAAATCTCTTTTTCTCAGGTCTTAAATGCCCCAGCCTGCTTTACCTGTCTTCAGGGCAAGCCTAGCACAATCCCAAAGCACACTTTTTATACTTTGTATTTCATACTGAATTCGAGTCTGAAAGTATGTACTAATTAAGGCATTATTATAACTTATTAGTTATAATAAAACCATAACTCTGGCCTCTGTATCCATGGGTCAGCGTCATCTGAAGTTATTATAAGTGTCTAAAGTCCTGACAAGCACTTCTTTCCTGCCCACCTACCTCCACAATATTTAGTTAGAAGTGTGGTTTCTAATTTAAGCTAATCATACCTTTTATGCGAAGTATCTTAAAACTGTGGGTATTCGCTTAACCATTACATCAAGAGAAGGGCTACCTAGATACCAGATGGCTGGTATCATAGCCCTGGCAATGAGAAGGCAAAGACTACTTTGTCCTCTAATTCCCTAGCCAATGCTGGGTTTCACTGTTCAAACCCTAAGGCCATACTGGAAGCACTTCTCATTCAATAGGTACTGAACCAATCCTGCTTGTGGCAATTCAGTGTAACCTACTCCTCTATGGATCGCGGAGCTTTAAAGAAGATATTCTGGTAACTACAGACAAGAACCTGATTATTTCATCTATTGACTACGACTTAATGGATCAGAAGGTCTTCTGGACAGACCTCGGTGCGGAAGGTATTAAGTGGATAAGCATGGACACAAAGAAGAAAGGGACTGTGGTGAAAGGTATGTCCCTTCATGTAGGGCAATTTCTCATCTTGCCCTGACTAAATACACATAGCATAGAAAATATAATGAGTGGCCATTAACGTTCTAAACATTGGTTTAATTATATCTCCTTAGCTAAAGGAATTAAGTCTTGCAAGTTGGTTAGAAATTGAAATATGCATTGTCATCTCAATAGACACAGGAGTCAACCAAACTATCAGCCAGTGACCAATGTTTGTAATGGCATCTTCCTCTACAAATAGTACTTTGGAGCATTTTAAAGAAGACTGCTCTGATGGAGATGCATTTACTAGTTGAAAAACTAATTAACATGGCATGCTAGTTTGATGCCCATGAGCTCAAACCCAGTAAAAGCTATAATTTAAGCTAAGTACACATGTTGAATGGTTTCCTCTCTTCAGGGATAAAATCAGATTTTATAGTGGTAGACTGGATTGCGAGGAATCTCTACTGGATGGATGGGACAGCTGGCCAGATTTTGGCGATTCAGTTGACTGCTAATTGGAGATTAATTCCCCCTAATTCTCCTTAAAAAGGCTACATGTATGAGTTCCCCAAGTACACACTGGTGTGACATTCATCCGTAATGGTTAAAAAAAAAATCTGAGTACACGATTGTCCTCAATGATGACCTGAACCAACCACTGTCTTTGGCTTTAGATCCCCTAAGTGGGTGAGTGCAGTCATCACAATTACTGGTCAAGTCCTTTAGGCTTGTTTTTCCTCTTTAGTTCTTCTTTGGTTGTGTTCACTGGACACAGAACAAGTGAATAGAAACCTTTTCTGACTTTACTTCAGGTTTTATGGTGATGTGGATCAATCACACACATAGTAATTTTAAAATCTTCTGGAGAAAGTCCTTTATTTCAGTTAAGCGAGATATAAGTTGCTCATTTGGTGGCCCACCTATACTTCCTTTGCCAAAATTAACAAATATACTTCTGAATGGAGAATTTGTATGGCTTTAATATTGCAGGAGGAAGGAGAATGGAACTAGAGATAGTGTTTAATTTACAATAATGTGCTTGGTGGTGGGGGGTAGGGGGGATGGATAATTGTGTGTTGGGGTTGAACCTGGGTTCTTCTATCTAGAGTCCTTTCTCTCAGTAAAGGGCCAGGAACTTAAGAGACAACATTTCCTACTTGGCAGAGCCAAGCCTTCATTAGGACAGCCATATGTGTATTGAATGAAAAAATAAGACAAAGCAAAACTCAGGATTCAAAGGTAACCCAGATTGGGCACCCTATCTCTGCTTTTTAAACCTTTATAATACATTCAACCAGGAATCTATTAACATGGTCCTCAGGAAACTGGCAGTAGTTTCTGATGCATCTAATAGCTTGTGGCCAAGAACAAGGTCTGGGGCACAAGTCTGTTTGTGGAACTAGCCTACTTTCCAGCCCGGAAAAGATTGTCAGATTCCACAGATATTTTCCATGCCTTAGGGAGTACTGAATTCCTTGCCTTCTTGTACAACTGTCATGATATTTTACCCCAAAATGATGACTAAACAACCACCAGAAAATATCAAGGGAAACCTTTTACTACTTCACAATTATGCTTATGGAATAGACCAAGTTTAAGTTTGAAGAAAAAATAATTAGGCTGCAAATCACTGTTTTAAGGAATTAATTGATGTTATTTTTTGTGAGGTAATACTTTATCTCAAAGCTGACTTTTATCCACATAGGTTAATGTACTGGTCTGAAATTGGAGGAGAGCCCCACATAGAACAAGCTGGAATGGATGGTAGCAGCAGAAAAGTGCTCATCAGTCAAGGTCTTGGCTGGCCAACTAGCATAGTTCTTGACCAGTTGAGTTGGAAGATATTCTGGTCCGATGACAAATTTCACTGTATTGGTTCTATCAATCTAGATGGTACCAGTATTAGTGTAAGTGTTCTTTTGGCATTAGGTTTGTATGAAGTGCCATGTGCCTTGTGTAAAACTCATTTCAGAAACCTTCACCATTTTAGATGTTACAGCTCACACAAATCAAGAGCCCCTTTTCGGTCGCTGTATTGGAAGATGAAGTCTTCTGGTCTGAGATGAAGACAAGAACAATACAGCATATGAAGAAGATGACAGGCAAGAACAGGGCTGTCCTCATCAAGCATTTTGAACAGCCTAACGGACTCAAGGTCTATAATGTACTCTTCAAAATATTCCCCCTAATTCTCCTTAAAAAGGCTACATGTATGAGTTCCCCAAGTACACACTGGTGTGACATTCATCCGTAATGGTTAAAAAGCAAGATTTATTCATCTGCTATTTTTAAGGATTTACTAATGTGTGGTGACATCTAGCTGTTTTCTTCCAGATAATGCATGAAGTGCTACAGCCTAGGTCTTCTAATCCTTGCCTGGATACTGGATGTTCTCACTTGTGCCTTCTGAGCGCACAATCCAAGGGAAGCTGTCATTGCCCCATTGGATTCTTGCTTGCAGATGATGGCATCAACTGCATTCCTATCAAGGATTCTGCATTTCTATTCCTTGCGTTGCCCACAGTTATCATACAGGTACCGTCCATAGGCTTTGTCACATGTCAGCGCTTAGGTTATGTTCTATTGTAGACTGAGTAATTTAAATTCTTCATATGCAGTTATAAATAGTAGGGGCTCTTTCCTTTGAATATTCTTCAAATACAACTTAAATTTTGGTATTCTCTGTGTGCTGAGAGCTATGATGACCAAAATAAAGTAGCTATGAAATGAAGACCACTCCTATTTAAATTCCTTTAAGAAATGCTTAGCACACCAGAATACAGCAAGGTTTGTTTAGTTTAGTTTATTTAGACAGTGTTGTTTAGTTGTCAGAGCACTTAGCCCATGACATAGAGTAATTCCAAATAAAAGCTGTGTTCTAGTACATTTTGTGGGGGTGGGGTAAGTACATTTTGTGAGGCAACTTTTCTTAAATCATAGGATAAAAGGCACTGACAAGCAAATCATCCCTAATTTATATCATCTAGAGGACTTGTCAATTTTGGCATTTTTAAATGACAAAACAAACTTTGGAGTGGAAGATCGACTTTAGTTTCAGTAAGATCTTAATAGTAGAGTCTCATGTAAAAGGGAGGGCCTTTAGCAGAGGAGTAAATCTTTAAAACATATGAATTTGAGGAATTTTAAGTGAAACTCCAGGAAGGGAGAGAAATAACTGCTATCTACTTTTAGAAGACAGAATATATGAAAAACTAAACTTAAGTATCTTAACATTAATGCAAAATCAAGATGACAAATTAGACTAGACTCAACTGGTACCATCTACCTGACTTCTTTTTTTTATAGATTTATCTGAAAAATCTAGACACTTTACTAGGACAATCAACTTTACCAGAGCATAGGATACTTCCTGTTACCACTGTGAACCATCTGACATCAATGGACTGCCTTGTCCAGGAGAAGGCACTCTACCTTTCAGAGTTGGATAATCGTGATATTAGGCAACTGAGGCTCAAAGAATCTGGAAATCTGTCTTGGAGGAGAATCATATCTGCAGAAGGGACAGTAATCAACCTTTCTGTGGACTGGTTGAGTGGAAACGTATACTGGATTGACAGTGAGAATCCTCACATCAGTGTAGCTTCTTCAGAAGGCCAGTATTTTACTGTCTTGTTCAGTGAAAATCTTTACTGCCCAACCTCTGTTGTGCTCCATCCAGCTACTGCAGTCATGTGGTTTGTGGATCTGGGTTCCCAGGGTGACGCTAGGCGTGGTGCCAGCATTGAATGTGCCTCTATGGATGGCAGCAGGAGGAGGGTGCCGTGGCAGGAATCTCAGGTCCCTGTGGGCTTGACCTTTTCAGATTCAGGGACCCAAATATACTGGGCTGATACTGGTAAGCAATTATTACCTATACCCTAAATGTGAGTCTGAGGGACCTTAGCCAGATGAAATAGTGATATTCTACTCTCTGGTCTTCAGCCATGACTTCAAATAGATTTTCAATCTGAGTTTATAATTTTCTGCACCACCTTTCAAACAAATACAATCATTCCCCAACCCGAGTAGCCTATAACAGACCACAGAGTCATGCAATAGCCCCTTCATGAAGGAATAAAATTGAGAACTTAACAAATATGCATGAGCAAACCTTTGTGTATCACTATTAATGTAGAATGAATGAGAAACTGGTCTTCAGAGAATGCATGGCAGCCAGTGCCTTCCTGGAGGGGAGGCTGGGCAAGACATAAAGAGCTACAGGATAGAGCACAGCTGTTTTGGGCTAGGCGAAGTAAACTGAACCTCTCTTTCTAGGGAGAGGACTCATAGAAAGTATTCAACAAGATGGCTCTAGATACAGAGTTGATTGCAGAGGAATTCTGGGCCTTAACCACTTTACATACGGCAAAGGCATGATGTTCTGGACAACAATTGATGATGGTATGTCTTAATTCTACATCTGATTGTCTTTGTGATCTGAATTTACTCCTCAGCATCTACAGTGAATGTGCTACTGCTTAGCACTGACCGTTGGCAGTATTTTTCTTTTGGAAGACTAGCTGAACAACTTACCTGTTCTAACATGTATGTGTAACAGTGATTCTGTGACTTAGAGGAGCTTTGACTTATTTGATTATTCTTTATATGAATATATTTAGTCCTGTGCTGCCTGAGATTTGTGGCATTCATATGAGGCTCTCTACTTTGGAGGACACCATAGTATGGTAGAGAGAAAACTGGACCAGAAAGAGAAACTAGGTTGTATAACTTTTCCATCAGTCAGTAGCTAGTAGCTGTAACATCTTACCTGTAAAATGAAGACAGTACCTGCTTCAGTTGACTAAATACATACAAAAGTACTGAATGAATTATAGAGCATTCTATATTTGTAGGGTATTTCTAATATATTCAAAGAAATTGTCCTAAAGCACAGTGCTCTAGTATATTATTTCTGGCTAGAGTCTAGATTTGCTAAAACTGGAAAATGCTGTGTAAGATAAATCTGATTCTTTTTATTTCCAAATGCTGGTCCATTGATCAGTTGGGCTGGCCACATCAGAATTACAAAAAGCTGTCAAGTCCTACCCCAGAGATGCTAATTTATTAGGTCTGTGGTAAGACCTTGGTCATCTATTTTAAAATCCCCTGGTGACTCTTGTTGTAGATAAGTCATTTTCAGAAATAGAACAATGTTTAAAATCATTATTCATCAATTGTATGGATTGCATTTAAGTGTCACAGATCTTAATTTTCTATCTTTAGATATCTGGACATATGTGAATATGTTCAATTTGGCTTATTAACACCTGATTTATTTTGGAAAAAGATATAAAATGTTTTCTATTTATCTTGAAGTTTCTTCTCAGAAACAAGATTTAGAAAAATACATGTCTCTTCTGCAAAACTCTGGTTACTCAACTGGAGTTTATACAAACAAGTGTCTGTTTTCATATTGAGCAATGCTCTTTGCCCAGGAAATCTTAAAATAAAATTTCGCTTTTGTTAATGATTGTCCACTGGTTTTGTTTCAGCCCAAATCACTAAAGTTTGGTACAGCAAGGCAGAACTCTCAGAAAACCAGTGGTTCTAAGTAGATCAGAAGATTGTGGATTTAAAAGTTTACAGGAAGCAAACTTGCAATGATTATGACAATGCTGAAGTCTATTGAATTTCCCTATGGAGGGGATGCGCCATCCTGCAATATCTCCTTGACATATCTTTGTGTTTTCCATTAAAATATTTCTCTGGCAATTCCCATAGATCTGCATAACTCTCTTGTTTTTATGCAGTTGTACACAGTCTGGTTCTGGTATATAACTAGTCCTGTTACTTATCTAGCAGACATAATAATGGTAAGTGTATGGGCTAGGGTTTGGTAGACCTGGGTTTTATTTTAGTTCTCTTATTGCATATTAATTACAATAGTGTTATAATCAAAATCTCCTTTTAGCTCTAATGTGGTTGTGGTATTAATCTTCATTCTACTCGTTGTCACTTGTACCTACTTGCGATATTTCCTAATCCTTGAAATATCAACTTGAGGGATGCTCAGATGTTTTTCTCCACCCTTCTTATAGACACAAATGGAGTGCCTAATTGCATGTTTGGGGAGGATGATGATGGCCTTAGTTAAAGTAGTAATGTAAGAAATCTGTTCCTAGTGGAGAATAACACCAAATAATGTAAGCTCAAATAGTTAACCATATCTACCATGTATGATGAGTATATTAGTATGATGAGTATATTAGTCTTAAGAGAATGCTGCTCCATTGCTATATTTTTGAAAGCTCACCTTTATAAACTGGTATTAGTCATGTTTAAACTCCTCCTGTCTTGCCTTTGTGGGGAGAACAGTTTTAGAATTCTTCAGTGTGATAATGGTCACACAAGTGATGATAATCTATTACTTAGTTCTGAGTACCATAAGGAAGTTCTCTGTCACCATTAAAGTAGATTTTATCTGTACTACACACATATCTATTCCACAACTTCTGGAATATGTCAAAAGGTAAAACCTCACTAGAAGTTAAAGTTTACGACATAAGCTTTGGAGAACTATGGGAAGCTATAAATGGCTGACTAAATCAGACTCTTTGGTTTTTTTCCCTTCCATCCTCATCCTTACTTCTGGCAACCAATAATCTGTAATTTTGACTCTTAGAGGGATAATGGAGTCTACAGTCCCCATGTTTTCATTTAAAGAAAGCTTTATTTCTAGGACCCATCTAGTTCTGATCTTCAGTGCTTGGTGTGAGAGGAGAAAACTCATAATGGGGTCTTGAATGAGCCAGAGTTCACCTCCAATTTTCTTAAGCTGGTTCCTTGTCTGAACTCCTAGGTTTCTAAAGCCATCCTCATCCATAAAGAAGAGTCATCATTCACTTGGTACCTAGTGGACTAAAAGGAATTAAATCGAAGAGCTGTCTCCTCTGGGAAAAACATCTGGGTCCTGTAACTCTAATAGTGTATTTGCAGAAAATTTGCAGAAGACCCTTCTGAAAAAATCTAAATTAATATATTTTTTTTGGACAGGGGGTGAGATCCACAGGTAGTAACAGCTGCTCGAAAAACAATGGAGGATGTGGCCATATTTGTTTACCAAATCCTGAAGGACAGACTTGTAAATGTTCCCATGGGTACTACTTGGCTGACACAAATAAATGTATTAAAGCTGTCCAGTGCTCTGCACCATTGCAATCCTGTAAGGATGGTCGGCAGTGCATTTTCATGGAGCAAGTTTGTGATGGTCAGGCTGACTGTCTGGATGGATCTGATGAAATGGGCTGTGAGTAACTCCTAGCCAGGACCCACTGTTCATTACCATGAATGACTTACTTTAAGTAATATCTAATTCTATAAATGTGTTAAGGAATACAAGAGAATGTGTATAAAGCTGTCATATTAGTACATAACACTATTGTGTTTGTACTTAAATGCGGACTGTAGGTGGTTGTTATAAAAATCCTGTGCCAAATAGTGCCTTTGTGGAAAGGTGTTGTCATGGCCAGTCAGCTGACAAATTACAAAATCATAGCTGCTTGTAACATAATTCTATAGCAACAGCTCCAATGGTATCCAAGTCCTGTGAGCTATAGAATTAAAGGGGCAGTGGGCTTGGTACTGAAAATGGTGATAACTAGTAAAGAAAAAGATTTAGGAAAGGAATCTTACTGTGAAGAGTTCTCAGTGACTTCTCAATTTAATTCTAATCTTCCTAAAACCTGACTAGCTGAAAGACAAGTTATTATTGCTAATCACTTCATCTTAAGTAGAAAAGATGGATTTTCCCAGAATTGATTCTATGGTCTTGCAAATAGGATGGTTTTGTTGAAAACCCTGTGTTGGCAGTGACTTAAGGAGGAGGGTCAACAAGTGAAAAATTTATCACCTTCATTACCTGGTTTTAAAACTAAACCAGAAACCTAACATGCCTTCACTTGCTCTTCCATTCTTGGTGACTTAAGCCTGAGAGTTGGCTCTGCTCCTTAATAATTATTTTACTCTGAATTTTACATAACTTTTTGGATGGTACTGGGTGTATGAAGTTAGACTGGCTTCCTCTGGATATACCTTACCATGAGAGACCCTAAACTGCCCAGGATTGGATACTCCTTTGATACCAGCTTAAGGCAGATGCAAGAAGTAATTTTATTGCTGAATACTACTGTCTTCCCTCTCCATAGTTTGGTCTTTAGTGTTCACGTGAGGAATGATACTTGTGCCAACAATAATAAAGAATTTGGTAAAATGCCATAAACACAAACATAACTTCAGGTTCCTTTTTGGTTAGAAGGACACTGTTGCCTGCTCTCTGCCTAATGTATGCCTCTCCCATCACCACCACTGGAATTGATTCAATATTTGCAACTTGTAAATCTTGCTAAACTTACTGACTTTAAACCTGCAACTTATAGATCTTGGACTCAAAAAAATTTTAAGTATTTATAGGTAAACTTACATTTAAAAAAATCTTTCTAGTCTATACATTTACTACCTAGATCTACCACAGCAATCCTTATAGAAATAAACATTATTGTAATGGAATTTGCCTTGGCTAAAACTGTGTATGCCATTATCTAATAGTAGATTGTTATGATAAATAGACTGGACCTGAAACCAAACATTTTAAGTGCTTTAAAATATGCAGTTCTTCTTATATAAATATTTAATTATTTTTTGTTTAGTCAAAAGTAATGGTAGTAATTTATGATCTCATACATTCAAATTTATTTGGTTAAGTCCATTACAATTCTTGTTCTTCTGAAATAGCTCTTAACTGATAAATATGTGTATATACTCACACTCATACCTACTATTTTTATAGGTGCTTATCCAGATAAAATTCACTCAGTACCAACACCTGAAAAGCCAGAAGCTGGAAAAATGGTGAATTTGAAAGCTGCTCAACCTCTCCAGGCTACCAAGCCCACCTAGGCCAGTTATCTGGGTCCAGAAGGGATGAATTATCCTGTCAGAAAAACACTGATCCCTCCAATTCTCGCTAGAGAAAGCAAGACCTCAGAAACCAAGGAAAGAGGGGAGTCTGTTCAGCCCAAGGACTCACAGAGGCAAAACATCTGCCCTGTAGCAGTGATTTCTGTAATGGGAGGGGAATCCGTACAATGGAAGGAGAGATGAGAAAATGCAGCTGTCTGATGGAACAGGGTCAAGAGTTCTGTGAAGAGGCAGTGCATGGACCCGCCCCTGGCCACATCGCCCTCAGCTTAACCATTGGCTTATCAGTTATTCTGGTAGCTCTGGGAGCATTTGTATATTTCAGAAGAGAACATGACTTAAAAAGGTGAATAGCAATTAATGTCCTCATGAGAGAGTTTAAATTTTTTCCTCATGGGAGAGTTTTATTCCAAAGAAGTCACTTATAAAATAAGATTAATGAGTTTGGAGGTATGAATTCACTCTAGAAACTTGTCCTCTGGAAAAGGATTTAGGTGATGAAGTAGGCTTCCCTGTTAGATAACCTGGGAAAAACAAAAACAAAACAGAGACTATCTCTTTGGGTGAGACCTGGGACAAACAATATTATTGTAAGTGGCAGATAAAATCTGACTAAACCAGCAGTCAGTGGCACAATCTCAGGGATGAAATGAGATTTCCCACCAATGAGGCAGAGTTAGTGCTAATGATTATTTGGAGGAAAAATTAGGTGTATTAGTTTGCTAGAGCTGCTATAACAAATGCTACAGATTGAGCATATTAAACAGAGATTTATCTTCTCACAGTTCTGGAGGCTGGAAGTCTAAAGTCAATGTGTCAGTGGGGTGGATTTCTTCTGAGGCCGAGGGTTTGTTTCTTCTTGAATTGTAGGTGCAGACTTCTCCCTGTATCTTTACATGATCTTTCCTCTGTACATGTCTGTGTATAGTCTCTAATTCTACAAGGACGCCAGTAATTTTGGCTTAAGGCTCATACTAATGACCTCATTTAATATAATGACCTCTTGAAAGACCCTATCTCCGAATATGGTCGCATTCTGAGGTAGTGGGGGGTTTATGACTTCAACATATGAATTTGAAGGGAACACATTTCCGCCCATAACAGGAGGTAAAATGAAAAACTTAGGAAAAATTTAAAGCGCAAGTGTTAAGTTTGGTGTAATAGCAAGAGATTCATTGGATTGAAGAAACGAACGAGAATAACAAATTGATGATTTAGAGTAGGAATGATTACAAAACAAGCTTTAGAGTGGGAAGATACAGTAATTGAAGAAACTGATTAAATACACATATTGGGAAGGGACATTAAACAACCTATGTATCAATAAATCTAGAGCTGATCAAAGTTTTATAGGTTACATGTCTGTCCAGCCTTCACTTTATAGACTGAAGAAAAGACCAAGAGGAGTGATTTGTCTTTGCCCAAGGTAACACTGGTTAATAGCTAACTGGTTAATTATTAAGATGACTAATACGCTACCCTTGGGGTTCTGATTATCACCTTAGGTTTTTCTACCACATTAACTTGCTTGCCTAACTCACTCGTGTCCATTTGTTAATCACCTGTCCTGTGATTTGGTATTCATTGATTCCTATTATCTATTTTCCCTTGATTGAGAGAATGTATCATTTTGAGAGTTAAGTAAATGTCCAGTAACAAGTCATAATTGACTCAAGTATTATCCATTCTAGGTCATTTGCTTTGTTAAAGAGACGATTAAGATGGCATAATTCCTACAAAAGATAACCTTTGATGGGGGATGAGTTGTCCCTTTCTAATTATTCCCCAATCCCAGTTTCTATCTCAAGGAACAACTCTTTTGACTTTGTTTCTTTGATTTCTAGAAATAGTACAGCATCATCGAGAAGTTCAACCAGCCATAAGAAAAATGACCAAGAAGAAGAGATTCTAATGAACAGTGAGACTTTTGTCAATGAAGCCTATAATGAGCTGGTATGCCTAGAAGTCTTTTTGAGAAAAACAGATCGTGAGAAACAGTTAAAGAACGTCCCTTCCGAAAAATCCTAGCTGGCTGAAAGTAGGCAGTGCTAATAAATGATGCTATTATGTATATCAAGTGAATGCTCAGCAACTGTTTTGTCCTTAGACTCTATTCAATCTTTAGTTGTTCAAACCAGAGTGAAATGTGTGAGATAGTAATCAAGAAATTCAGGTTTTGGTAACTTCCATAAGGGGCTCAATTCTATTGTGGGATGGGGTGTGGGATGTTATTAGGGTTATTTGGCGTTAACCTAAGAATTTATGTTCCTGCTGTGATCTCTGATAACTTCTGTATAGCTCAACTATGTTTTTGCTTTGTTTTAACGTAGTCTGTGTTCTCTAACTTCAAGTCTCTCTTCCTATAGGAATCATTAACCTCTTTGCAAACTGACTAATCTTAGAAAAGAGGAGCTGAAAACATCTCAATAAAAATTGCTTATACATTTCATTGTGTACTGTTTTCACTTCTGAAACAGTTTGTGGTAAATACAACTTCTTATTAAAATAACTGCTTTTTAGATTGGAGGAGGTCATCTTATATGGTTTTCTTAGTAGGTATTGAAAAACCGAATATTCATAGACAGAGTCAGATTTCAGTACAATCTCCATATAATTTAGGTTATGGCTGATCCATAGAAGCTTTCTAATCCCAGTACTAGTCAGGAGTTCTGGATTTGAACCTTGGCTCTGACACCAACTTTGTTAATCTCTCTGAATCTATTTCCCCATCTTACAAATGGGAATAATCTCTCTTAAATTTTTATGTTTTAAGGTAAAGGTCAAGTTTCTACAGTGTAGTAAATGTTCAGATGTTGTTAGTTTCCTACCACTCCCTCTCTGAGACACATTTTACTGCAAAATTACTGATTTTTTTTTTGAAAATTTGTAAAATCAGTGTTTTTTTTATGCTCTCATTTGATTCTAAACCTAAATGCAGGTGAATTTGCTTTACAAATACAGAAACTCAGACAAATGGTTTGTCTGAGTTGTTTGAGGTAAAGTGGGTGAATACTGTGGGCTGAAACATACAGAGTTATAGATGTGGACCAGGACTCATCTCAATAGCTCATGCTTGTTGAGGAAACACACAGATGCTACTTAGATCCCAAAGCCCTTTTGACTGCTAATACCTCTGTTTCTGGATCTACTTAATTCACACCCACATAAAGAATCAAGAGCATTGAATCTGTGATGGGAGACAGGTAACAAAGCAGGAGTACAGTATAAAATTCTTTAATAGCAGTCTTGGGCAAATCACTTAATCATGAAACTCTTTCTCCAAGGATAAAAATGGGTTTAACAGAACCTACATCAGGCCAATTGGACATTGAAAGAAAATATAAAAACACTTGTGTGCATAGCATCATACCTGAGTCTGCTAACGTTAGCCCCAATTATAAAAACACAACTTGGAAGGACTTTTCTTGCTTGAATCTTTTCCAGATATTCCTATTTAGTTTCTCGCAGAATGAGTTTGTATGGGCTTCCAAGCATAAAGAGAAGTCCTAGGCTTATTACTGTAGGTATAGTACATAAAGTAAACTCTGCAATCAAGTATAAAAATTTCCAAGTACAGATTAATTTGACCTGAAGAACAAATACTTGGGGCCCTGCCTTTCCTGAGGCTGGGAGAGTCAACAGCATCATTGAGTTGCCTCAGGAGCTCAGCTGTATTAGGTTTCTCTTGCTACCCTCTCCCAAGAGCCATCCTCACTGTCAAGTTTGCCCTTGGCAAGGCTCTGCCTCTATCTGTGCAGAAGTGCAAAAATTGACACAAAGGAATTCTGGCTCAAAAACATGCACCGATGGTGTAAAACACTATTACCACTTTCTCTGGACATGCTTAGGCCGCTGCCTGCGTCTCTCTTAGAACTTATGCCTCCCCCAGACTTCCAGGGCTTTCATTCTGGCTAGCTCACTAGCTCGGCCTACTTCCACAGGCTCTGTGGTGGAATGTTTCTCTCAGCCACACCCTTCTACTTTGTAGGACCCCTTTCCTGTTTGGGCCCCAGGAATACCCCTATTTCCTTTCCCTGGGAAAAGGGGAGCTGACTGCAGCCAAATGGTATGTCATATATGCACCCCTTCTTACTCATCACTTATTTACCTTTTCTTATCTTTGGTATCTTATGAATGTACGCCTAAGTATTATCCTTCCTGAATCTGGTTTAACACATCCTGTTATGCTTTTCCTATTCAAGAATTTACAAAACACATGAATGTCCTTTTCACCAGAAAGACAATTTTATAAATGGATACTTAAGGTTTTATACTTAACAATTTTTAAACATTCCTATCCCCCAAATTATTTTTAATATGTTAACTTCATAACCTTATCTCTTTGGAGCAATGGGATGTTTTCAACTATAAGAGTCTTCTGTTGTGATATTCTCTATATAAATTATTAATTTCTTACTTAATTTCTCTCCACCTAACTGATGGAACAATAAGCTTGTAGCAGACATAAAACTTGAATTTCCTAGAGTGGCTCCGTAGTGTAGTGGCTAGCACGTCTGCTTTACACGCAGAAGGTCCTGGGTTCGTACCCCAGGTGCAGCCACAGACCATACCCTGGGTGCGTCAGGCCCCAAAATGTGCCGGGCACAACCCCCCCCCGCCCCCCACAGTGTGGCCTGAGCACGTGGGAGGAGATGCTCCGCCTTCAGAGAACCAGTGCTTAAGAGGAGACAGGCAACTTCCGTAGGTCAGGGGTGGAAGTTGGGGTGGGGAGGTTAAAGAGGGGAAAAAAATAAAAATGAAAACTTGAATTTCCTATAGAAACTCAAATTCTATAAGCTTTTAATTGGTTTGAGTTTTCTTCTGGAAGAACAAGGAGCTTCGGAAAAGTTAATTGGCTAAGGCATTAGGCTCAAAAGCCCTACACAAAACTTGACCTTTTGTGTCTCTCTCTAGCAATTAAGAGTTAAATGAAGTGCTTTGTACTTATGGGAGAGGGGTCATGGATGATGGGAGGGATGAACCAAGTTCCTACTATTTTAACTGCTGGGAGGCTTATGAAATTCAGGGAAACCTAGAACTAGTACATGGGTTTTGTTGCTATCAAACCAGTTACTAATTTTACAGGTCAATCAGCCTCCTCTGCTTTCGCTGTTCAAATTTCATGTCTTTCCTCTCAGCCCCATCTAATTCTTAACCTTCACTCTAAGAATATTAAATTTAGACAGGCCCTCTGATAACATCTAACAGTCTTCCCAGCTGTACAGATGAGGAAACTAAAGTCCAGCAAGTGCAGAGCTTAGGCTATTAGGAAGTATGTATCACCTAAGTTCTAGAAAAATTGCAGTGACTCGTTCAGTTTTCCTCAGCCTTTCATGTCGGTGCCTCTCAAAGAGCTGCCATCGCTGTAGGGCATAATCCAATTCTCAAAGTTGCTCCTGTGGCCCATTCCCCACCAGTGTCAGTGCTTCCGCCCTGGGTTTTGGGCCAGTGGCCTTGGGCTACAAATTACTTTCTGTGTACATGACAAGTTGTGTATAAGGTGAAGGAGCATTTGGGTACAGAAACAGCTTTTAGAAGTAACTTTAAATTATTAAATTGCTAATAGGCATTGTACCCAGTCTAGAATTACAAAAATAAGTGGAAACCATCCTTGTCCTTATTTTCTATATAGAGGTAAAATGGGAAAGTATATCAAGAAAAATACACACTGGACACATATATATGTTCAAATACGACTCCTCTAAGCTGATGGGGGAAAAGAAGTAGTCTAGGGTACTACGTGTGTGAGAGAGTAATGAGGGTGAAAACTTAGCCCTTGGCCAAGTGAATGTAATTTAAGCTGAGACTGGATGATACATAAGAAGATCCCAAGGGTTTTAAAGAAATGAATGACAGACCTTTATTTTAGAAAGGTCAGAGTAAAGGTGTATGTGGGGGGCGGGGTGCAGAGCCTGGTTATTAACCTTTTCCCAGCACTCTGGGGTTGTGATGAGGCTCTGAGGGTTAAATTTATCTTTCTACTACATTGTGGGGCTGTTTATACACTGGCAGAATAGAATGTTTCTCACCAGTTATTTGTATATCAAGTTGTTTATAACTGATTCTGAAAACATTCTATAAAACAGATTGAATTTATTCCAGACTAAAGAAGCTATTAGCTTGATGAAGTGTAGATGACATACTTCACTAGCCTCATTCAATTGTACCATGACCATCTTTCTGTCCTCACCATCCTGACCTAGAGAGAAGTAAAAGGAAGCAAAACATGCTGGAGCTGAGACTGCTATGCCGACCTGTTTTAACTGACATTTTTTTTAGCAGGAACTTGGAATTTGCTGTTATCTCTGCCTGGAATGCTCTCTTTAAGTTCCCTGCTGGAGTATCACTTCCATCCTGACCACCTTTCCTAAAATACCATCTTTTTTCCTCCAGCCCTTGACCCTAGCTTATTCTTCATTTTCCTTGTATATATCTCTCACATTAGAGTATGTTAGTTTCACAAAGGCAGGGCCTGGAAATAATTTTGCTTTTCGAGGTATCCAAAAATGTGCCGACAAAGTGACAGGTGCCCTTACATTTCCTGGATGAATGATCTAGGTGATGAAGAGGAGGGTGGTGACTGAAGCATCTTTGACAGCACCTCCCACAGCCTCCGTGAGGGATGGACAGCATGTATGCTGAAAACCTCACCCCTCCTTAGTGAGGACGTGCCTCTAGATCACAGCAAGATCGCTGAACGGGTAGAGCAGGAGCTGAGTTAATGCAGTGTCTGCTCTACCTTCACAGATCCCTTGGTCCTCCAGCTGTAACTTGAGTAATCTTGAAAAGATTTCACCCATTAAATAACAACACATTCTTTGTAGGTAATTAGGATTATTAAAAATGAGTTGTGATGTCATATTATGGGTGTGAAGAGCTTGAGGCAAGGTGGCCATGCTATTTCACATTAGTGTTTTCACTGCGGTGTGGTTGCTTGGCTAGTTGGTATTAAGTTTAGGGTGAGTTCTCTCCCACAACAGCAACTACTGAGGCTCTGGCCTCCTCCAGCATCTTGAGTCTCAAGCCCATCCTCAGTTTGTGCTGCTGTGGCCAAGAAGAGCCCTCAGGCCTAAAACAGATCAGGCCTGATGGAGGAGTACCTTAACACACCATTTTGAATATCTGGTACAGCAAAAAGAAGTTTTTAATTTTTAAAGGGGGTGTTGGTTTTATTTCTGTCAACAGGACAAAAATAAGAGTTCTCTTGACAAATCTTAATTACCAGAGAGGAAGTGTTTTGAATATAAGCCAGTGGAGAATAACTGGGAAGGGAGGAAAACTAAAAACATACAAAACATCAGGCTTCCCTAGAAATATTTGGGATCATGATGCAGAAAAGATTCAATAGATTCGGTACTTGCCAGAAACCCAATATCTGTGTTGTCTGCTCGGATCTGGCTTCTCAGCCATTTAATCCCTGTTCTTTAAGGTAGCTGAAAAAAGCAGTGTTGCCTTTTCTCCATTGTGGCTTTCTTCCCTGGAGGAAGGCCCCTAACTCAGCTAGAAGGCAAGCTTTCCAAGGTCTGATTATGGGCTGCCAGTTAGGACTGAAATTTGAGTGAGGCACAGGCCCAGTGAAAGCCTGGCAGTCCCAAGGAGGGACCATTAAGAGCTTGTCATCTCCTGGGTGATCTTAGGAAATCAGTTTCAGGCCTCACTCCAGACCTTCAGAATCATAATTTGCATTTAAAAAAGATCTCCAGGTGATATGCCCACACTTTAAAGTATGGTTGCAAAAAGACAAGAACAGGTAATTCTAGTACAAAATGGGAAAGAAAGTGAATCTGTATTATCCCTTTCACTGCAATGGAGCAGCATGTGCTATTTAGTTGGTTCTGTAGTTCTCTATTATCAGCACTCACTGAACTGACCATTCCAACCTCTGAATTGTCTACCAAAAGCTGGTTTTAAAGATGAGACTCGATTCAATTAAAGTCACCTTGAAATCAACCACTTGGAATTAGAGCCTTGCTGGGGATTTAGTCCTGCTCATGGGACACACAGCTGCCTACCTGTGACTTTAGGCACCACTGTTACAAGAGGAAAAGATTTCTAGTCTCACCTAGAAAACTGGTGTTTCTAGTTTTTTCAACAATAGACTTGGCTTAACACAGAAAACAGCATGAACCTAAAAATAAAACAGTCAGGAATTTAAGTGGGGCCCATTGGCATCTTTTAGTAATCTTATGCTAAGAAGTGTGAAGATATGAGTGCTAGATTTCAGGAACAGTGCCTAGGCAGCCAGGAAATTGTTAGAAATGAAGGTTTAAACTTCCAAAGGTTGTACTGGAGATGAAAAAGCTTTGTCTGAAGCTCTTGTTTTCAAATTTTCTTTATAAATGAGAGATACACACACGTGTACTTTAACCTAACGTAATTAAGAAGTTCAATTTTGCACCAAATATTTAATGTGTAGTCTTCTATGTCTAGGGTGAGGTAGACAAAGGACAAAACATAGTATTAGTCCATTCATTCTCTTTCTTGCCTCTCAGAGAGAAACTCTGGTGTGACCTCAACTTTCACTTTAAAAATAAGTGATTAAAAAGATAAATCCTATTTATACATGAAGAAATGGAAATACGAATTAATCAGGTAATATCTATAAAAGCCACGAAAGCTGCTGGTATTTGCATGGCTTTACTTTTAAGAGCCTCATAGAAATATATTGGTCCTTGAGAGTTTGCATGAAAATGAAAAAAATACTTACCTTGATGCAAAGTTCATCTGCATTTCAGAATGTTTCAAGGCGACAGACAAATCGTTTTTGAGCCTCTATTTGCTGATTTTGATTTTTTGTTGTTATTGTCCTGGTCAACACGATGCAAAGTTGCTTACCTCCTTCAACCCAGTTATGAAAAGCCTGTCACCTTCTAAGAGTTAGGAAAACTAAACTCTAAAATAGAAAACCAAATCCAACCTAAACTAATCATTCAAGGAGTCTAGCTTTGAATCAGGATGGGGCGAATTACCCACAAGTGGGGCCCTAAACCAAGAGAGGCAGGGTCTTTGCCTCTGTGTAGGAAAGAATTCAAGCCCCAGAGTTAGAGACAAAAGGAAAGTTTATTAGAGAGTGGTCTCCTCTCAAAGCCAGAGAAAGAGACCCTGAATATTTGAGGAATCGGGGTTTTATATCTGCTTTTCCTTCCAGGGTACGGGTATACAGTGTTAAAGGCATGGGGAAGTAAAAAAAAGGAATCTTCCTAGGTTCCCCGCGGTCTGGCGGTATGCAGATCAGCCAGGTTCCTATGTCTGAATATAACCTGGTTTAATATTTGGTCAATTTTTGTAGTTCTCATGCCTCTTTCCTCTATGTTTGGCCATAGGAAAAGAAGATCGCCCTTCGAACCAGTTACAGGAACAAGAATACGTGTCCCGGGTTCCCACTTCAAGCCAGGCGTTTCCAGCATCAAGGTAACAGACAACTTCAAGGTTAAACCGTGGTGAGGCGAGTCCTTAATCACACACAGCTGGCCAGAGCAGGCTGCGGGGGCACTGTCTACAGGTCGGAGTCGCAGGGCAGGGAGCTGTGGCACGGCCGGGTGCTGCGCGAGGAGGCGCCCTGGGAGTCCGTCACCGTCTCCCCGTCGAGCACGTCCCCCGGGTTGTTGTAGGCCTTGGGCGGTGGCCGGGGCATGGGGAAGCCCACCTTGGGCTTGTTGGTGGCGCCAAACTCGGCGGGCCGCGGCCTGTGTTGGCCGTCGCTGTAGTATTTGATTGCGGGCGTAAGCGCGGGCTCGACATACACGGTGCTGATGCTGGGGCGGCGCGGGCTGCCAGCGGTTTTCTTGTGGGAGCGGTAACAATACTCCTCGCACCAGGGCGCGAAGCTGAGGGCCAGCGAGAAGCCGCCCAGCAACAGCAGGCAGCTGCCCAGGTAGCCCAGTACCAGGCTGTAGCTCACCTCCACGGTGACCGGGCTGGCTGGGGCGGGCAGGACGGCGCGGTCTGCCAGAAAGTGGTTGTACCAGGAGACTGGGATGAGGCTAAGGAGGCCCGCGAGGAAGAGCACCACGCCGGAGACGCCCGCCAGCAAGAAGCGGGGCTCGTCCTGCCAGCAGCGCACGCCGAGCGAAGCCAGCAGCAGCCCCAGGGCCGTGACAGCCAGTGACGTGACCATGAGTCCTCGAGCCACAACCACCGGCGTGGCTGCGAAGTAGCCCCACTTGTCCGTCTGGCCGCATTCACGCTCGCGGCTGCTCTGCTCGCGGCACATGTCCCACAAACCCTGGTACAGCACCACGTCCACAGGCTCGTTGAGGAAGCCCTTCACCAGCCTCCAGCCGGGCGCCAGGGTGCCCGTCAGGTTGAGCAGCAGCCCGCAGGGCGCGAGCACCATGCCCAGCGTCATCACCACCGGCGTCCGCATCCCCAGGCGCGGCGCTGCGCTCCCGCGGGACAGCGCACCTGCTGCCTTCTTAGCAGACGCCTTCTCGGCCCAGCGGCCTCGAGATCTCCCGCCCGGGCGCGTCCGGAGTAACCTCGGGCTTCGGCCCCTGAAGTTGGCACGGGCGCCGCCGCGGGCTGGGGGCCTGCACACTGCTCTCTCCGGCTGCTCTCGGGCTCAGGCGCAAGACCGTCTCCACTACGCGGATCGCCCCTAGTTTCTTCTTCGCGTCTCAGCCGCTCCGCCCTCCTCCAGGCCGCTGTCCGCAATCGAAACCACTCGCGGGCGGGTCTGGCCGAAACCACGGTCCAAAGTGCGGGCGCCCAGAAACGACTGCCCAGGCCAAACCCGTCCCGGTGGGAGGGGCGAGAAGGAAGCGGCGCGCTCTTGGGAGCGCAAAAAAACCCGTCTCCGCGGCAGGGCTACTCTGGGACCTAGCAAAGGTCGCCCCGCCCTGGCCCTTCCCGCGGGACGTGGGCGGGGAAGGAAAGAGGCGGTGCGGCGGCGTTGTCCGTCGCGAGTTGGGTCAGTGCGCAGCTTCCCTAGTTCTCAGCGGATCTCTGTTGCACAAGTTTTTCTCCCCTCCCTGACCGCAGGCTTTGCAGCGTACCCTCTCCTCCCTTCACTCCCAGCGGGGACCTGCTAGTTCCTCTAAGTTTTACGCTGTTGACCTGCAGCCATTCGCAGGTGAGTGGGAGGCGCCTTCTCTCCTCGCGCTGCGGAGATGCACCAGGGTCTACCTGATCGCGAAGAGTGCCCCAGGGCATTGCACAGATAATTTTATTAAATAAACCTCGTTTAATGTGCTCGATGAAGGCTCCATACTCCAGATTACGTTAAACTCAAAAGAAACAAAGTGAATGTGTTTCTGGATGAGGACTTACAGTGGATTTTCTTTTCTTTTTCAGCTTTGCGAAAGATATTGAAGCGGACCATTAAAAAAAATGCTGCTATGGGATGTCCTGTCTAGCACACTTTTCGGGTTTATCTAATTATATAGGGTCCTGTGGCTTTTCATTGTTTTTGAGTTAGTTTACAACTCTGTAAATTGCAGAAAACCTGTAGTCGTGCAAATAATTTTTGTCCGTAGAAATGCACTTGAGTTTGTTAGTAGAATGTAAACGATTACTGCCCAGTTACAGACTAGTGTGGCATTGATTGTAAATTTTAGCTCTCCTATTTGCCTGGGTGAGTGTTTTTTGCATTCTCTTTTGAACCACTGTGACATCATAATGGCTCCATTATTAATAATGAATGAAAGAAAATCTTTGACACATGTTCATTTTCTATCAAGTCATGATTTTACATTTTAACAATATTTTTTCTCATTCTATATTTCTTAAAATGGAAGTGTTTTACCTTATAATTAGTTAAAATCAAAACTTTCTGAAAATTAAGTTAGTTAGCATTGGTTTGAAATAATTTTGAACACTTTAGGGTGGACAATAGGAATCACTACTTTCTTTTCTGAAATTTTTTCAGTTTTAAAAAATCGTGGCAAAACAGGCATAACATAGAATTTACCATCTTAATCATTTTTAAGTGTCAGTTTATTGGCATTAAGCTCATTGTGTGCTACGATCACCATCATTCATCTTCAGAACTTTTTCATCTTCCCAAACTGAAACTACTCAATTAACAATAGCTTCCAGTTTCTACCACTACCCCTCATATTCCCAAAGCCCTTGGCAACCACCATTCTACTTTCTGTCTCTGTGAATTTGAGTACTCTAAATACTTCATATAAGTGGAATCGTGCAGTGTTTATGACTGACTGTTTCACTCAGCATAGTGTCCTCAAGGTTCATACACGTTGTAGCCTATGTTAGAATTTCCTTTTTTTAAAGGCTGAATAATACCTCATTGTAGGTATATACCACATTTTGTTTATCCAGTCATCCTTTGATGCAAACTTTGTTTGCTTCCACCTTTTGGCTACCGCAAGTAATCCTGCGTGAACCTGGGTGTACTAATATCTCTCGCAGTCCCCGCTTTCGGTGCTCCAGAAGTGGAATTGCTGGATCATGTGGTAATTCTATTTTTAAGTTTTTGTAGAAACAGCCTACTGTTTTCCATAGCAGCTGCATGGACACTATGACATAAATGAGAGTGCTAGTTCTCATTTATACTCTTGTTAAAAAACAAAATTCAATCGAGTAAATTCGAATATCTAATTGTCTTTATTAAGCAATTCATAAATCAATCAGACATAATCCCACGTAGCAACTAAAAGCATACTTTGAGGGCTTCTAGTTGCTATATGGGATGCTGTCTGATTGATTTATGAATTGGAAAGTTTACAAAATGGAAAGTTTTTATAGGAAGAAGGGTAGGGCAAGGGAGCTATTAGCAAAAGAAAATAAATTATTTTTGGGCTGAGACATCTTTGGGGGAAGAAAAGGGTGTTTATCATGTAGATTGCCTTTTTTTCCCCTATGAAATGGGCCCATGAGACAGATTATTTTACGGGTGCTTGATTGGAAAACTCAATTTACTAAGATTATGTTTCTCGGAGAGGTTGAAACTGTAATTAGATGAGGCATTAAATCTAGATTTGGTATCATGGACTTTTAGCACGAGTGACCCCATTTGGGGCCTGTGGGTTTTTTTTTTCTTTAACACAGTATACTGCACAGATGAGGTATAATTAACATACAATACACTGCACATATTAAATTTGCTAAGCGTCTATATATCAATACACCATAATCAAGACAATAAACATATCCATTGACCACAAAAGTTTCCTTCTGCCCTTGGTAATCTCTCATCTCTCCTTGCACCCCTATTCCCAGGCAACTACTTATCTACTTTCTGTCACTATAAAGTAGTTTGTATTTTCTAGACTGTTGTATAAATGAAGTCATACAATATAAATTGCATATAAGAGAACATCAGCATGTCTCCCACATCCTATCGACCTCCTAATTTGTCTGAGCATAAGGATCTCCTGGGGTGATCATCTTGGGAAGATACAGATTCCAGCTAAATGGAACTCCCCAGGAAAGTTTGCTGGGAGTTTGTGTGTTTACAAGCGCCCAGGGGATTCTTAGGCTTAGGGAAGTATGGAACATTTTTGCTTCAAATATACTTTATAGTTTGTCTCTTCTTTAGAACCTAATGATTGCTGTTTGGAATAGCAGAGAGACTTCATAAAGACGTTATGGCCTCTGTATCCTCTTCAAAAAATCATTTCCTTCTCACTTAGATTCCTGTGGAGTGAATGAAGCCCAAGTATTATTTACCTGTGAGGAGGAAGGAATCCTATATGTGCTACCTTCTAAATCTCTCCAGTGCTTCCACTTCTCCTTGCCTATTGCCTCTACTTAAGCCCAAACCATCCTCTCATGTTTTGCTTTAAACTGACTCTTAACTGGTTTCCTACATCCAGGCTTTTCTCTCTCCCTTTCTGTTGCCCACACAGGACCTCAGAGCTGCTGTTGTCAAATTTAAATCAAGTCTTGTACCTCATTAACCCTTTATAAGACCGTCTATGGTCTAGCCCCTGCCGCTCACTCCATCCCATCTCCCTGTCCCCTCCCCAGTACCACCTTCTCACCCCATAGCCCACGTGCTCCCTTTTGCCTCTAGATCTTTGCACATTCTGCTTTCTTTAGTCTCTAAAGTTCTGCCTGCCACTTCCCCATCCAATACATCCTTCGGATGTTAACTTTTCCTGTGTGTACTTTCGTAATTCCCTCTTCTACCATAATGCTTCTATCAATTCCTTATTACTTGAACCATCTAATTTTCTAGCTAGTCTACAAATTCTCTATGACAGGGATTATGTTTGTCTCTTTCTGTGTTTCCCTGAAATCCATCTTCATGCCTGGCCCACAGCAGCCATTCAACAAGTCATTTTGATCTTTTTCTGCCTTGTTTTCTCTCACACAGTATCTACAGAATTCTCGTGGAGGTGACTGCCTGGCCAAAACAGATGGTTATATGTATCTCAGTAAACAAGTTTGTTTGTTTGTTTTTCCTCAGCATAGAAAATAATGAGATCTATATCTCCAAATATCTGGTTAGCTCCAAATAGTTTTGACAAATCGTAAGCTGGTGAAGGTAACTTTCTACAGTGATAAGAGAAAGACATCCTAAGTGTAGCACCTGATTGTGGACCTGGGCTCTTTGTTCTAAGGACTTCCAAGTTCATCCTAAGGCTGAAGGAGAAACATAACATGAATCCTAATGTGGCAGGAATCAATTATTGCTGAGATTAGTACCTGTCTGTGTAAGCTGATCCCTGGGCCCTGTAATAGCTTTCTTTTCTGAAGAGGGGCCTTAGGGTAAAACAAGAATCTGTTTACTGTGCCCTAGGTTTCCAGATGAATAGTGGCCCCATGACTAATTCTAAAGGGATTAATGTTGGGTCTCCTGTTAGCCTGCACTGACGGGGTCTCAGCTACCACCTACTACAAAATTCCAGGATTCTGCAGTAACTTTATCTTGGAAGTCATGTTATAAACTTTGGTGGGCAAAGCGGGCCCACCAGGTCAGTGTGCTCTTATGAGAAGTCTTCAGAGTCCCTATACCAGGTCTTTCTATTTTACTCTCTCCATAGAATAAGGCCCTAAACATGGTCACAAGTCTTCTAATGGCAAATCCAGTTTGGTAGGTTATAAAATTAAAAAAAATAAACTATAAAAAATTATACTATGATCATGCTCCATTTTAAAATAGCATTAAAACAGCCCGAATTGAACTAAGCTCCTTCAACATAGCATTCACTTTCTTTGTTGGCATATAGCCTGATAGTTATTTTTCTAGCCTTGTGCTGCAGAAAAGAAATATATAACTTTCAACATCCAATTTAAAATAGTCCCTGGTTAGCTCAGTATCATATCACCCTAATTTATCTTATTTATAGAACTTATTACTACCAAATATTTTCTTATTAACTATGTATTGACTTATCTGTATTCTGTTTCTCCCACTACATTGTAAGTTCCAAATTCTAGGGACCTTGCTGGTCTTGTTTGTGGCTATATTTTAATGCTGGAAATAGTACCTATCTCATAGTAGGTACTCAATAAATATCTGTTAAATAAAAGAAGTTTTGTAAAATTTTTGCATAGTAACACAGAGATACAGATTACATCTTTTTTTAATTATAGTAAAATACACATAACAAAATTTATCATCTTAACCATCTTTAAGTGTACAGTTCAATAGTGTTAAGTGCATTTACACTGTTGTACAACCAACCTCCATAACCCTTTTCATCTTGCAAACCTGAAACTCTCTGCCTAGTTGAACAATTCTCCACTCTCTTCTCTCCCAGCCCCTAGCAGCCACCATTTTACTTTCTGTCTCTATGAATTTGATACTCTATGCAACTTATATACATGGAATTATACAATATTTGTACTTTTGTGACTTTTTCTTTTAGCATAATATCTTCAAGGTTCATCCATGTTGTAACATGTGTTAGAATTTTCTTCCTTTTTAAGGCTTGCTAATATTCCATTGTA